ACTTGGCTTATTAGGCAAATCGGGCCTTGAATAGTAGGCTGAGAAGTGAGTTCTGGCTACTAGGTACGACATATATATATATGTATAATCAATGATAATGACAACATGAACATGTTCGTACTGTATTACGATTTCTCACTTCAGTTGTAGCGAACTCTAGCAGGTGGAGTAACAGGCATCTGTACACAAGAAGTCGATAATACAATTATATAATTCATTGTGTCGGGGACAAGCAGCCAGAGTGTATTTATACACGTTAGGCTTATATCGAGGTTCCCCCCCCTGGGGAGGGGGGGGGGAGTCCAGGTCGAATTACTGACCCCGTCCAGGATGCAACGCCACAACAAGTGTTGTGGGGTTGCGACTTGAAGTAGAGGGGTGGGGGTTAGAAATAGCCTAAGCTACTCTATCCCTTTGAGATGTATTTCTTTCTTGTCTCAATAAACATACTTGAACTTGACCACAACAAGCTGACTAACTCCTGAGTGCCTACTTACTGCTAGGTGAAAGGAAATGTGCCTAACCATTTCTGTTCATTTCTTGAACCCGGAATTCTGGCCTGTGCGTTGAGAACGAACCCGACTGTACCACCGGGACCCTGATGGTCTCCTGGGTGCACGAGTACAGGCCACATCATGACTACTGGTAAATGTGCTTTATAACCACATAGTATACTAGGTTAGGAAGTAAGCTGTGCACCAAATCAATACATCTATTTACCTGTAAAATATTCAGGGCAGTGTAGCCCTCGAGGAGCCTTGTTCATATACCCCCCCCCCCCAACTCGTAAATCTTCGTGGCTGCCTAATATCACGCGGCAAGGATCATTCAAGTTGCTTACACGTGTAGTTATCCCTTTTAAGACAGCATGGCCTCTTTAATCATACTGAACTGTTACGTAAAACATTTTCTGCAAAAAGGTACTCGTGCACTTCCTAACAATCATAGTTTCCATGTTTTTATCAACATTTGAATACATCAGCATTTATGCAGCTACCCTAGACTATACATAGTCATCAGGGGCATGTGATCAGTAGCTTTAATTGCTATCTTTGGATGGATTATGAGGATATCAACAAGAACGAGTGAACATAGTCGTTGAAATTCTCCATGTCCCTCATACTGGCAGGCCTGAAAGGTCTAATAACTGAACATTCAATAATGTAATGAGTGAAACTATAAGCCAGTTTATGCTTAGAGTTGGCACATGGAGTGCTCAAGATTGGAAGATTCGTCACCTGGCACAGGTAACGGTAGCCCAACCTGATCCTGGCAACCACTATGTCGCATTGTCTGGTGGACGCTTTCTGCTGCCCATAAACATGGGTTTCGGATCTAAAAAAAAAAAAAAAAAAAATTACAGCTTTTATATTAGTGCTTTCCGACCATGGGAGTCTGTAATGTTCTCTACTAGGTCTGAATGTTTGGAACAATGTAGTATTAGCAGACTTGGGGGTTACCCAAGTCTACTTCAAGTACATTCTTGTTACATGCTAATTTGCCTGCTATGTCTGGTATCAAGAAGGATTATATTTGTGAGATGGTATCCGTAACAAAACTGCAAACTCCGCGGGCTTTGCTCCCCTTCTTTCGTACAGAACTGCTTAATTAAATCAGTAATTGCATTATCAAGAAGACACCAAGCCGGGAAGACTATGTAGAACCAATGCCCGAAACTGCCCGAAACGCTGCACGTACTAGTGGCTTTACAAGAATGTAATTACTATGCTATGTCTCCTCACAATCCCAATGTACCTTCTTGTATATATATAAATAAATAAATGTAGCTGGACATTCAAAAGGCCCTAATCACCACACTGGATGAAAATGCGAGAACAAAAGCACACAAGTCGAGCGATATCAAAGGTATCGGATTCACCAAGAATTCTATCTCGGGAACTGCTGAATCTTCTTGAGGTTATCTTGAGATGATTTCGGGGCTTAGTGTTCCCGCGACCCAGTCCTCAACCAGATCTCCTTTTTGTTACACACCCCCAGGAAGCAGCCCGTAGCAGCTGTCTAACTCCCAGATACCTATTTACTGCTAGGTGAACAGGAGCATCAGGGTGAAAAACTCTGCCCCAATTGTTTCTGCCTCCACCGAGGATCAAACCAGAAACCTCAGGATTACGAAGTGTGATACCACAGAGTACTGGGAAGATGGGACACCATGAGCATAGGTCTCATCCTGTAACTACATTTAGGTGACAACACTTAGGTGATTACCAGTTCAACTCTGAACATTATAGCTTAAACCTTGTCATGCATTGTTAATATATTACAGGCTGCCCTTAATTAAATACAGTGCATGAAGCTGCCATAGGTAGATTACGTATGGCAGATAAACTGTCTTTTTTTCCACATTTATGTAGAACAAGTACAATGGTAGCATTATTGAACTTAATTCTCGGTTGTTAGTGTAAAAATGCCCAATATTTTAATGTAAAGCTAGTTAAAACAACTTGCAAAAATAAAGAATATAAAAAAGCATTCTTCCAATAATCACAGACAGCATGCTTTTGAAAGCTGACCAATGGGCTGAACCTTACACTTACTTGTATTTGATGCCTAAATCAATCACATATATTGCATGTCATTATATACATTTGCCATATTTTGTGCAATTTATAATAGTCACAAGGCAAATGATGCCAGTTTCCAGGAATGGTTTTCTTTTCCACTCACGTAAAGTTAGCCTGTTAGGCTTATTTAAGTTCCCCTATCCAATGATTGACCATTCCCAGGATGCAACCTACAAGTCCATTAACTCCCAAGTACCCATTTACTGTTAGGTGAACAATAGCATTGGGTGCAAGTTAACATCTCCCAATATTTTGCTCAGTCTAGGAATTGAAGCCAGGGCCAATCAATTGTTAGCCGAGAGTAGGTTAATTCCTTCATTACAGGTCACCCATCATTTATTTAATCATTAACATTATAATGAAATTAAATTTTTGATTAATACAAACTCCAACAGCCACAACTAAGAAAAATAACACTCAAGCAAGAATGAATGTATATGCCTTACCTCTTGTAAGCTATATATTAACTAAAAACAATATAATTTGATGTCAATATATTAATACACAGCTAATCATGTACTACATATAACTAACATGTATACTACACAAGACAACATGACATTATAATGAAAATGAAAAAGCCAATAAATTTGACAATTCTGATGAGATCCATAAACATTGTTAACAGCAATAAAAGTTTGCCAATAATACATACCGCATTCTCTTTTAGAACATTTGATTAAAAGCACTATACAGTAACCAATACTGTGATTATGTCTAAATACAGTATATATTCCGTATTGAATAGATTTATATCATGAGTGAATAGCAATCATTAGCATCATTGCCCCATTTGCATGGGACAGAGGAGGCATTTCCTTAGTGTGTTTCAGCTTCAAGGATTTTAGAGTGAGGGAAATGAGAAACTTGGATGTGGGTGGACCTTAGCCAACTATATGAGAAGAACCAATGTTACGATGGAAGGGGATAGGTGGTGGTTGGGTAGCATTAGGTAAGAGATTAAAAAATCAACAGATTAAAGGGCCATGATATGACTAGTAACATTGGGGTATAATGGTGCTAATCTGAAAAGATAGGGAACTGAAGGTTAATTGTCACACATGATGATCATATACAAGACAAGGAAGAATAGAGATTCTTATAGTTTGTTTTTCTTTGCTTCTGAACAGGAAATACTCTCAAATTTCAAGTGAAGAATTGACTGTTCATCCCAAAAGTGCAAATGAGTTTTAGTTAACACACTAAACTGAACACTTGGTAGTACAGTATTTTAATTTAATACACACAGAAGCAAGAGCAGACTGAGCTTTAATGCTATTACACCACGACAATATTTTCAATAGGTAGAATACTGATGCCAAGATGAAAAATTCCTGACCAAAATGGCCATTGTCTCCACAAATTACTGCCAGTGGAAGGACGTATCCATGAAAGTGACTTACAATACCCAGGTTCATTGTTTTCCTCATGGGATGCAGGGGGCCAGAAAGAAGTACAGTATATACAAAAAGAACCTCACTTTTTATCTTGGTCTTGATATAGCTGTCCCAAAATGCAAAAAGAATTAGGAAATCAGAAAATATTGAGGTCAAAAAATGTAATAAAATCCTTGGACCTCCCAAGAACACATTAATGCATGAAAAGCCAAGGTATTAGTGCGTATGTGTGGGGATTCCAGGGATGCGGATTCTATCATGTGGCCTCAATAGTTTTGAAGACACCATATTCTTGTGATTTCATTCTACAATTAGTAAATATTTGTCTTAAGATCAACATAATATACATTTTATAATTAATTCACAATAGAAAACTAAAAGAAAATTGAAACTATTTACTAACATACCTGTACATGATTAAGCTCATTTCTAACCAGAAACTTTACTATAGGAATTTTAGCCTACTTATTGGTGGTTCAGGGAATTTCTACCTTTGAAGGTGAAATTCTTCACCTGACACTGAAACACTGATCAAGCCCCTTGATGCGATTCCCCATTTAGATAAAAGTACCCAAAGTTATTGGCATAGCCGTAGAGGATCAAACCCACAAATAACCTCTTAATTCAAGTATCAAATCTCAAAAGGTAGTGGGAAAAAGAAAAGCTGAATTTTAAGTAAACTATTAAAGAAAATCACCACTTCCTCAATTAAAAACTTATGGGAAATATTTGTTGCATAGGAATATACTGTATACAGTATATTCCTCAGCACTTATAAAGTAAGTTAAATTACTTTTGTACTGATAAAACCTTTGAGTTGCATTCTGATGAGAGGATTTAAAATATTTCACCAACCAAAAAATTTAACATTCATATTGTGCTGAAAACACATGACAAAACACTTTCACTGAAGCAGATTAAATATAGGATCTCTAATTTTTTTGTGATTTTTCCACTATGCTCTTATTTTGCCATGTTCCATTATTTTACAAATTAGTAAGGACAAAAATACAATAAAACATTCTGATTAATGTGTTTTAATTTAAATATTAAGTGGTAAACAGATCACAAAATAGTTTACCTTAGAGTAAGCAGAGGATGCAATAGGATGAGGGAATGGTATAACAGCAAAATTTACAGTTTTCACAAAATAAATGCATCTCTTTCATAAAGTAATTCTCATCCCTTACACAAACATATTTTACTGTAACAAATTCTATCCTCGCTTATCTAGCAATGGTATGACAATGCATTTTGAAGGTAACACCAGTCTAAACCAAGCCTTTACAAAACACATTTCACTCTGAAGAACTGCTTCAGGTCTGAACAAATGTCTTCTAGTGAAACATTGCAACATTGTAATAAGAGTGAAGTTCTTGACTAGCGCTTCCTTCACTGCACTGGTCAGCAGCACCTGCCACGTTGTCAAAGACCTTACTTTTTTTTTTTTAAGAAAATCGTTATCATTCATGCCTTCCTTTTTAACACACTACTTCCATACCTCATACCTTCTTCATTGCAATTCTTCTTCTTTTTTTCCTAAAGGAGCAAGAAGATCCTATAGACATCATACTACATGTAATATCAGTGTACAGCAGTCTACACATCTTCATTTTATTTCTCACTCTTTACTCGCCTTCACTTCTACTAGAACTTTTTTGGGTGATTTTCCATAGACTGCATCTAAAGTAAGACCTGTGGGAGAGAACTGTATTTATGAAGAACAATATCATCACTACCTGGCTTATTAGTAACAAAAGCTAAATATTAAACAAAAACTATTTTTAGCAACTACTTTACTGCAAAAACAAATTCTTAATGTTGTCAAAGTTGAGGGAATGTTCTTTACATGATTAACAGTCTTTATAGTACTACAGTGATTTGAAATAGATGTTGGACCTAATCAATATGCTAAGTATTGTATAACTCTGCCTTTTTTAGGAAAACTATTCAAAATATTAATTTTGTGCCTTAAATCTTTAGTCTTGGACATTAAAAGAGCACTACATACTTTGAAAAATATCTAAATTAGAAGTCAAATATTCTAGTTCACAAAGCACAGATTTCAATCAAGTTAAATATGTAATTTGGCACATGGTGCATAACACACGAGTCATTTTGTTGCACAAGTAAATTTAATGAACTGTTCAAATGCTTTTGCTAAGTCACTCCACACCACTTGCCTACTAGGAGGGTAAAAAGCTCAATGATTTGCAAGAGAATGATATCTTGAAAATAATCAATCATTTATCGAAGAATAGCACATGAAGGATTTGGTGCAGCAACATTAAGAGGAAGAGGGGGAGAAGGGATAACAGAGGACCATGTGCTTTCCCAACTTGTTTTCTGGATATGCCCATTTCCCATTTTGTGTTTGTCTGAATACAAAAAGTCAGAAACAAGTGCAGTGAATGATCTGAATAAAATTATCCAGTCAGGTGGTTCGAATAATAATGTATGAGGAAGTTGCAAGATGAGCGCCTGCCAGGCCTTGTGGCGCAAGGGTGGAAGATGGTCCTAGTTTGTCCAGTGACCATGTTGGGCACCACTCTAGTGCTTTCTACCCTGTGATGCCACAGATTCATGGCCCAATGTCTTGATTTGTTATGGGACTGGAGTGTTTATTTCGTAATTTGATTGGATATACAGTACAGTATCGTTAAAATCTAGGAACATCCGTGCACCTTGCTGGCTCCAAATGTACCCATTCTGTTGGTGAAAACTTCAACAAGCAGGATTCGTAAAAGAGGTCAGTGATTACATTTGAGAAGAAAGCCAAAATAATTAAGAAGGTGAAGAGTCAAATCCCAAGGAGTGTTGTGCGCACTGAATATGGATAGCATTAAGAAGAGAACACTTTTTATATTATTAAGGTTCACGCTACCATCTTTGACTTTCTCTTCAAGTGAAAGTGATAAAACAATACGTAATAGAAAGGCAGTAAGTAAAGCAAAAGTGGAGTGTGCTGATAATGCAATGTGGCAGTTGTACAAGCATAAATGCAAAATGAAAAAGCCAGTGGCAGGCTGGCTGTTCATGGAAAAAGCACGCGAGTTTCGCCAATCTATGAAAATTCCTGGGCATTGCCGATACAGTAATGGATGGCTCAGATGCTTTAAACTCCACCATGGCATTAGGTACATTACAGTACATGGTGAAAAGTGGTCTGCTGACCCTTCTGGTGCAGAAGAGTATTTAAGTAAAATTGCAGAAATAGTGCAGGAACAAAATTTATCTCCAGAGCAAATTTATAATGCTGATGAGACAGGTTTGTGCTGGAACATGTTAACGACAAACACAATGGCTCATAGTGAAGACGATCCTTTAGGTGGTTATAAGCTGAACAAACAATTTCTGTGTTGTGCTGTGCTAATACAGCTGGCATGCACAAATTTAAATTCCTTGTGACTGGGATTAGCAAAAACCCCAGGGCTTTAAGAGTCAACTAGGTGCCTCCCAGTGATTTATATGATTTGATTTATATGAAATGAATACACTAATTTAAAGCTACCTTCAATCAACACAAGGATCTATAAAAAAACACTCATTATGAAGTTCAACTTTACTATGAATGTTATTTCTAAGATTAGCTTTAATGACAAACCACTAAGTGAGAGCACCTTGAAGAAAAAAAATTCTAAATAATAATTATAACACAACTTGCCTGAAAATACAAAGGTTGTTCCAAGCCATTGTCGAGGAGAGAGAGTATTATTGAAGAGTATGACTGACCCCAGCACAGTGAAGAACTTGCGAGTCGTAGTCACAATTGAGCAAGGAAGAGGACCAAAATCGCTCACCATCAAAAATATGAAGAACTGCAAAGTAAAAAGAGTTATGAGGCTCAACACCTTCACTTCCACAAATACCGTACTTGCAACATTTATCAGAATAAGGCTATGCTAGATACCTACAAGACATAGCTTTCTTGTTGATTTCATGTGCTTAATCATGAATGCATTAGACCAAATTTAGGCTATTTAAATGCCATTACTATGTAGATTATTCTTATCCAGTACTCTTCCTTTTATTAATCTGTGTTTATGGAAATTTCTCTTTACATGCTGGCAACTTCATACAACATTTAATATTCTTCAATGCATGCAAACCTTTTGTCATTTACCTAAATTACCAAAGGATCTACATACAGTAGATGCTTATCTTATTCTATTTTTAATATATGCTTTACTCTACTGTTCTTTCTGTATAAACATCACCCTCAGATAATGAAATTCCCTTTACTACAGGCTTGACTCCATTCACAAGGCAGACACTCCATTATTTTACACTGTACAGTATTGAAGCAGCATTAGCCTACCCATATTCTTTAAGTATCTAACCACTCTACATAAATCCTGATTTAGTGAGCAAAACAGTGACACAGGACAAATGTAATATCAAATGTTAATATATATCCACAACAATTACTAAATATTGCTCAACTAGTTTTATATAAACATTTTTGGCATGAAACATTTGTCCGATGGCAAAAATGTTCCTTTCACATCCCACTCAGCCATTCTTAGGACTCCCCACAGGCTCTTGCTGGCATGTCAACTCACTTGACCAAGGGCACTGCAGATACTGAAGACAAGCATTTTTGTGAGAACCTCTGGATAACGCTGAGCAAAGTTGACAAAGGTGAAGATCTCGCCTGTCACCAGAAGAGCTGTTGAAAAGAGGATGACATAGGTAAAAAAAAAGAAATGCATAAAGTTGTATATTTTACTATTAATAAATTAAATTCTTACTTGCATCTTATTTATTTATTTTATATTTTATTGTAAAGGTGAGAAGGGGAAGTTGGAAATAAGAAGTGACAAGTGATCTTTTTGCCAAACAATATTTAAGTAATTAAAAAAGTCCACAATAGAAGGCAATTAATAAGCATAGCCACAATAGAATGAGTACATACCTATTGCCAAGTATCCAATAGAGAACAGATTCATATTGAGCATCATATGGCCAGATTTGGTCTTTGACTCGGCAATCATGCGTTCTTGGACAGCTCCAGTCAGTCCGTCCATTGTCAATGACAATAACTAGGAAATAACAGCATTACTGTTATTACATACTGTACTATCTTTGATATGGTAAGGCAAACAACCATTACACCAACATTCATCCATAAATAATTTATATTCACACAATAATTCAATGGAGCAATATAACCTTTAGCATAAACTAACCATAATCAGAACTTTTTAAGCAAAAAATTTAAAATTTGCATTAAGTTTTATAGATGAACAAACATTACTGAGAAACTTTACTAATATTCCACACCCCGGAATAACTAACTCCCAGGAAAAAATGTCACTAGTACAGCCTAGCTTATGATGACAATTCAATTTCTTTATTATGCACCCTATACCCATCCCGTGGGCGGTGGTGTAAAGGATTACAGAGGCACATAATCGGTTCAGAAACTGAACCCTCTAGTTCATTTAGCTAAGCAAATAACAATCTTTTGACACTAGTTACACAATTATTAGTGTTATACAGTATATACATGTACACATACATACATGTACATATACTGTACATACATATACACACACATACATATTTAATCACCTACACAAATACACACATCAATAATCTTTTATATCACAAGTGATTCAACAAGAGGCTCACAACAGTCACTATACAAGGCACTTTACATCTATGGACAGATGGATTATTATTATTATTATTTTATGTACCAGCTATGTATTTAACAGCTATGTGTACAACCAAGAGAATTCATTTAATTGTGTGTATAGCAAATAATTAGGCTAGGTGTTTTGCAAGGTAATTATGAGGACAAGTGCCAATCAGCATGACTATGTAGTACTGTACAGTACTCATGCGCTGCGAGGTTCTACTGTGGATGACTGAGTGTTTTAGTGGCGGTTTATCCATGATAATTTACATCATATTGTACTTTTTGTGAATCACACAGAAATCACATTAATGTGATACATACCAATAAGAAAATCTAATAGGGCTATGAGGTGGACGCGAACCTACGACCCCGGCATTGCCAGTCGCGTACTCTACCACTAGACCACCGCTGACTTGTTAAATCCGGTTGTATGACTTTGATAGTCATCGGTGGTCTAGTGGTAGAGTACATATTTTACCAGCATTTTTCATTTAAACCAGTATTTCTGGTTTAAAGTGGTAAATACCCTGCAGTTTTCCGAAACATTACTAAAAAAAATTATTCTTATTAAGCTAAATATTACAGTAATATGAAGCTGACAAAATCTGTCTGGTATACAGGCAACAACCAACATTTTATATATACAATTTAGTACATGTCTGTCACCTGCTGGCAAAAGCCCAAAACACACTGCTCATCTCATGTCATCATCCACCCCACTACAAAACACTATGCATTTCCCTAGAATTATCCTTTTCATATAAAAAAAATTCTGCATATACAGTACATATATGCTATTGTCTCTTTAAGCATCATAATATGCTATTTAAACCAATTATTTATATACTGTATGCCAAATTATGCATACAGTACTGGCTTTGCTTACATATATAGTAGTATTTTTTTTTTTTGGCCCTTTATCATTTTTTCTTTTCATTCCATATTTTTGTCCGTATACTGTAACACTATTATAGGCCCAATAGCTGTGAGGTATTTTTATATACTGTATTATAATTTTTTTGGGGTAGTATATTTATGAATATATGGTTATATTTATGTTAACATTCTAGGGACAGGAAGCCTGAACAGTACTTTGGCTTATCGAAGTTACCCTAGGCCAAATGCTGACCATTCCGAGGATGCAACACACAATTATCTAACTCCCAGGTACCTGTTTACTGCAAGGTGATCAGAGGCCTCAGGTAAGATAAACTTGTCCAACTATCTGTCCTCTCTGAAATTGAGCCCAGGCCCCTCTGTTGTGAACTGACAATGTACCCCATTTTTTCTATCAAAGAAATAAGATTTTCCCACTTTTACTCTTGTCTGATAATTTGAAATAATAAATATGGGAATGTATTTAAAAATAGAGCATTTGAGCCCCAAAATAATCTCTCTGAAACTGTATGAAAAAGTAGACACAGAGGGTTAAAACTTTCAGGGGTTACACTGTCAAATATTTACAATAAGTACTATATATGTAGTACAATTCTAAGACACTCCAAATATAAATTAACATCTTTAAACTTTGTGCTTATAAAAAATTGGAACTTACTAATATTCCAAAACTTCCTAGGAAATCATTTGCAACTAAGATTGCTGTGATTATCCTGTCATGATGCATGTGTGCAGAAATTTTGGAGCCATTGCACACACATAAAAATTGACAACTTTAAAATGTCCCTTTGAGTTTTGGTAATAAACACTGAAGCAAACGTATACTAAAAGTAAGAATATCTCATTCCCTCAAGTACACTTTTCTCTGAACAAACTATCACTATTGTACTGTTCTCTGAACCCACACCATAATTGCAAATTGTCCCTAAAACTTACCTCAACATCTTTGCTTCATCTTGAGATTTAGACGACTATATTTCAACATTCCCTCTTCATTCAAGACAACAGACCATACAATATCCTCTACTTACCAGAAGAACCTCTCCAAGGCCAAGACCACCACCTGAAGATGCTGCTGCTGCTGCCTTGGAGTCCTTATAAATGAACATTGCCACCCCTAGGGGAAAAATACATCTTTTACCTAATAATTAAACCTCATAAATATACAGTACAATATTTACAAATAATGAAACAATATGTGAAACCATTAGATTGGAGAGAAAGATCGATTAGTCAAATATTAAAATTATATTGCAAGGGCAGATGGGTGGTGATAAAAATGGTAATACTGTAAAACAAATTTAGGTTATTATAAAATTAAACTTTAAAAATATAAAAATTAACATTCATAAAAAATGACAGCTACATTAAATATATTAACATACTCAAATATATTTATTTAATATACAAAACACTGAAGAAACTAAGAACATGCAAAAAGTGAGAAAGAACATTATCAGTAAAGATACTTTTAATGTTACAAGACAATAATCAATCTAGAATAAGAAAACTTGAGTCCAGTACTGGACTCGTGTGGTCTGCATACTAAATATGAAGTTCCTATATTAAATGACCAATACAGTAATATGATGAATTGCAAAATGAAAATAAATGCGAAAAATGTCACCAAGTTCAGATAATAAGAAACAGTACTTCAGTGATGTGTTAAAATGAAGGAGTAAATACAAAACAAAGAAATATATGTAATATATTAGGCAAGAGAGGAGAGCAATTGAAGAGTGCCAAGATATGCCATTACTGCAGGTAACAAGACTTTTGGCATTATAAGAGACTTCCAGTATTTACACAACTCACCTACAACAATCATGAAGATAAAGACATATTTCTTCCAGGTATAGCTCTTACGTCCCAAAATCACTCCCAGGACCATCACTGGAATTGGCTTACATGATTTTCCTACAACCTGGAATTATAGGAGTAAATAAAGAAATGAATACGTACAGTATTTTGAAATACAAAATATTGCATTTTTCTTTAGTGCACATGTAAACATTATTTTTGGAATCAAAGTCAAGGCAAAATCTAGTGTTATACAGCTAAAGCAAACATTAATCTGTAGTCTTATTTACTGAATTGTATTTTATGTTAATGCTGCATTTTTTTTATATTTAAGCCACATTCCCTGAACCAATAGAAAATTAGTGTTTATCTTAACTAATTTTAGTACAAATCTTATTTCACAATACAGCTAACCAGCTATATACTATTTTAAGACTAATGAAATTTTCATGGAATGACGACGTTCCGACTTTTGACATGTCTTACGTGTCAAAAGTCGGAACTAAATTCAAGTCAAATCAACCCCGATTGTTGCCTGCAGTAGTTCATGCAAGTCACTGGCAGATATTGTTATTTTCTCCAAAGTTATCAGTTCCAATGGACAGTAACAGGCTATATTAGGGAAGGTTAAATTATATGTCAGGGAATTTGGTTTCCAATAATACTTTTTCAGTATCCAGTATTATGAGGTAGCACACAATACTGGTCAAGGGCTCGCTAGGCTCTTTAGACACTACAAGCTGATCTTTTTTTTAGATTCATCTACAATCTACACCTATTTACATCACAGGAATCTAGTACCACCCAAATTTAATGGCAACAGAGATCATATTTAGTACACTGGATTTAAATGATAAAATGGCTATTTAGGTTCATACTTAAAGAATAACAGAGCCATCACTGATCACATACTAACAAGTTTTTCCGAATGATTGTGGAGGGAGGGAAGGTTAATAAAAAATACATCATTTTATATAACTCGTCTTCAAATTTGGACATATGGAAGGCAGTTTAAGCTCAGGCCACAACTTGTTCTCCTAATAGAACGTCGCATTTTGACATGTATTCTACCAAGGCCAAAATTTGTCGTACTAGAAAATGGTAGCAGCTCACAGAATTGACACACTGACCTGTTTTCTGTTTTGGGTCCTCTGGTAGGTTATGATAAGGGCACTTTAGTATGACAGTTTCTTGACATTGGGAAATCTTAAAACAGGCTGCAGGCCAAGCAGTGCATTTTTGGTTAACAAAAACTTACAACAAATGAGAACTACAAAACCCAAGTCTGTATACCTATATTATTTGGTCACTTAAGAACTACTGAATGCACGACTATAATACACTGCACCCACACTGATTCTAAAGCAACTTTTGTTTATTCTATGGAATGTATAACAAATTAGGTGTAGCAAACCAGAAGAAATAAGAACATCTTCAATACAAATAAATATGCATATTCAATGATTGAAAAGGAGCATTACAGCAGCAACCGTTTGCTTATGTACATGCAACGCCTGTAATACACACCACCCAGGTTATTCTCAAGCCCATTCACAGCACTCCTTTCCCTTACTTTCAACCTTGTATCAAACCATTGCTTTAGTTCTTTTCAAATTACCTTTTAATATTTGTACTCTTCAGAAATTTTATACTAAATAGAATTCAGTTATTATTGGCAATAATATTCAACAGTTAAAAAGACAAATTTTATATAAAAAAGTGATACATATTCATGAATACTTAAAGTGTTAAATTATAGAAACATTGAAAAAATATATACAGTACTGGTACTTACAAAATCAGATGATCTAACATGTTTGCAAGTAAAAATTATGAAAATTAAAAAGAACACATGAATGATTTAACAACTGACCTGCGTAGGGTAATTGATCCACTGTAGAGCCATATTTGAGGAGACCATGGCCAGCAGGTAAGTGAGAGCACTTGAGGCATAGTAGATACGACGGGTTGTATCCTCCCCCTGGTCGAGGACAAACTTCCCCACTTAAAACACACAGATGCACAGGAGGGCCAGGAGAGTCATGGTTATTATTAGAAATGATCACATTTAAAGTGGGTACACTTTAACAAAGTTTAGAGGGTTTTAGGGACCTTTACTTATTACTGGCATGACAATTGGTCTTAATTTGGTTAGCATTACTGATACATAATTAGGAAAGAGGATATGCATCTAAGGGATGGATTTCACAACTGCATTTCAACAATTTCAATCAATTATCCACTCTCAAATTTATAATTATATTATGATTCTTCTAAAGTACAGTACATTAAAATTTCCTTAAACTTGTACAGTAAAGCAATGTAATCAGCATATAACTGAAATGTTATATGTAATAAAATTCAGGGTTTTGAAAGGCATCCTATTTTTCTCCCAAGAACTTTGCCAAAAGTCCACCAGTGTTTTTATTTACAAGGTATCTGATGCATCCCTGCAACCCCAAGTTGACTAGTAGATTGAATATCTTTTATTACTATACTATACACAGTACACCCATATGAATTTTCCATACATTTCAGCATTGCAAAAAGAAAAAAGCTGAATCAAGCATGTAAATCAATAAATGTTAAGAAATATTACAACATGTGGAATATGCTTACAACATATGTTTTACAGTACAGTACATACAATGTTTTGATTTCTAAAGTTGCCTTCAAAATGAGAATATACCAACCAATGCTCCTCTGGAGAGGTGTGAGAGGTGACCTGCATCATAATAATAATTACAGCAGATATTTTTCAGTCAACTGAACATGATATTCCCCTATGCCAGGCCCATGTTAAACCTGCCCACTCTACATATTGTACAACATGGAAATACATGCACAAAGAAAGAGAGGCGAGAATGAGTGGGTGGCCAATTTTAAAGGTGATACTATTGTAGACTGACCCAAGGCCACACTTTTCTAGCAATGACATTCATAAACACTATTACATCCCATACCAGTTGCTTAACTTCCAGGTACCTATTTATCACTAGGTAAACAGAGGTATCAGGTGAAAGGAAATGGTGCTAAAATGTCTTTTCCTACCACGAGAATCGAACTTAGGACCTTGTGGTTGTGAGCAGACAGAGTTGATTACTGTGCTACGCCACTTGGATATGCTTTATCAAGCAAAACTACTGACAGTTTAGGCAAGTGAAAAAGATACTACATTTGGAATATATATAGAGCAAAGAAATTAAAAACTTGGCAAGGTTGACAATGCAGATAGTGGTGGCAATAGATGGCAACATACTGTACAGTACCAATTGAAAATTCATTTGAAAAATTTATTGAGCTTGTATTTATAGTACACCTTGTTTCCTCCCCCTGGTCCTGTGTTTATTTCTTATACCCTTTACACAAATAGATCAAAGCAGCTAATATCATATGGTGCAGCAACAATGACAGGCCATACTGAACCAGGTAATGCCTAATGTGTATGAAAATGTAAAAGAATTATTATCATAAAATTTACAGTAACTAGTTCATCATGTAGTGCTAAGGGTATCACTAACCCTGGAATAACATAGATTTACAACAAAATGGAAGCAATCAAGCAAGACTATCAAATGAAGAAAAGAAATCAAACAGAAAATGACGTTTAATGATACTATTATGAAAAAATCATGCAGTAGTTCCACAAATAGGCAGAATTGTAAGCATAGCAGTAAGACTTGCCAATCACCATTTACTAATTTTACAATCAAAGCAATTGTTTCTTCGCAGAGAAGCATCCTCTTTCCAAACATTGTATTCAAAGATAATATTTTCCTAGTGCATTATTTACAATAAATTTACATTAGCAAAAAATGTGAGAAAACACAATGTCAGGCAGGCACAATACTAAAGGATGGTTAATAAGTCATGCACGTTGCAGCAAAATCACAGTAGTACTTACTTATTTTTGCATATATAGCATTTATGATGCACTGGAAAAATACAAGGGCAAGGGAATACGTAAATTTTTCCTTTTCTTCACCATAACGTGTACGTGTACTGAAAGAAAATATGCCCTGAATAGCTGCTCCAATCTCTTAAATATTGGTAAAATTACTAACAATAAATAAACAGATTAATTATACCTTTTTCTAATCAAAATATATGCTAAAATTAACCAAACAATACTGTTCCACTATCCAAATCAGTTTTATTGCCAAGGCACATTAAAACTATTTAGTAACCATGGACAGACATTTCCATACAATTAGAGAAAGATATGTCTTAGATATGTCAACCCTTACTTAAACTACAGTATCTCATTAACAAAGATTACAATGGATTGTTTCATTAGGCTTTGTCTTTGATTGAAATCTACAAATCCCACAACCTAAGTTTTATGCACCCCGTCCTCCAAACGGCGACCACCCCCGGGCGTGACAGTCCGGCCAACGCCGACCACCCCTGGGTGTGACAACCCGGCCAACGGCGACCACCCCCGGGATTGACAGCCCAGCCAACAGCGACCAACCCCCGGGTGTGACCACCCGGCCAACGCCGACCACCCCCGGGATTGACAGCCCAGCCAACGGCGACCACCCCCCGGGTGTGACAACCCTGCCAACGGCGACCACCCCCGGGTGTGATACCCTGGCCAACGGTGACCACCCCCGGGTGTGACACCCCGGCTAGCGGCGACCACCCCCGGGTATGACACCCCGGCCAACGGTGACCACCCCGGGTGTGACAACCCGGCCAACGGCGACCACCCCCGGGTGTGACAACCCGGCCAACGGCGACCACCCCCGGGTGTGACAACCCGACCAACACCATCCACCCCCGGGTGTGACAACCCGGCCAACACCATCCACCCCCGGGCGTGACAGCCCAGCCAATGCCGACCACCCCCGGGCATGACAGCCCAGCTAACGCTGACCATCCCCAGGTATGACAGCCTGGCCAATGACAACCACACCCAGGTGTGACAGACTCGGGTGGCACACCAATTATGACAACCCAGGTAACAATATTAACTTAGATTTTCTAAAATTAAACTGAATCTACTAAAATTATCCTCAGTAATAACCTGATCAGTGACGATCCAAACTAAACTGACATGTGATGACCCACTTAGGTGACACTCTGACCTTGCAGCCACAGTGATCTTGATAATGAGTTACATCAGTGTCATAAAACTTTGCATTACAATAACGTACTGTCCTTACTACGTGTATAAAGACAATTTATCGATTGAACTTACATTGATTCTTGCAACACCCCATAATAGAAATAGAGGAAGAAGATCCCTCCAGCATATATAAAGAACTTCGCTCGGTGGAATAGACTCTGGTTGCCTTCAGTCATGTCTGTGGCAAAGTTAAAGCTGGCGTTGCTCGAGTGATGGCAGGTGATGACGACGACCCTAGGATCGGAAACACCTCGGCTACCCTACGAATGATGGTTTTTCTTTTTTGTGATATGTGCAATTTGTTTAAAGGTTTTCTCCTGCCGGTGAGTGTGTGAGTGATAAAGGTGGGAGGCGCGGCACAGTTCTAGCGACCCGCTGTTGCGCCCTCCAGTCACCTTTGCTATAGACGACAGAATCTTCCATATATAAACAAAAGTTATAAAGAATTTAGTTCCTCCAACTCATCCGCGCGCCGGTTAGGAATCGCTTCTTGTTACCGACGTGGATATAGACGTGCTCTACTCTGATTTGTTGATCCTAAGTGCTGGCGTTATTTATAATAATAATAATAATAATAATAATAATAATAATATTTTATTTAGGGAAAAGTACCTACATAGATGCAATTACAAACATTCTGATTGATTTATTGATAGAGCTAGTACATGCAATACCTAAAGCTACAAGTACGCATAGTGTTTCGGGAAACAAAACGCCTGAAAACGGACATTTAAATAAAGAATTAAATTTTACAAGTAAATGCTTACGGGAAAATATAACAAATAGAATAAGACAACGTTCAAATTATAATAGTTATTGCTGATAGTAAAGTTAAAATGAAACAAAAACTTGCATTTCAATTTCAATTTCAAAACTTGCATGATGTGCAGCGAGATCGAGTGCCGGTGAGCGACAGTTTGTCGGAAAGGTTATTAGAAAATTATTGGTATTTCCGTATGTATTCTGAAATCATTGATCCGTTTGAGTGTAAGCTCTTAATACAGTCATCTAGTAGCATGTATAATAATGCACAATCATCCGCATACATATTAGGTTTTACGTATTCTATTTTAGTAACATATTGCACGTCCTCAGACATTTTTTATTTCTGTTGAAGGGCACGAGAGCTATTTCAGGCTGTGAATGTAGACCAGTCACCTTTCCCAACCACAGCGCCATACATGTTATGCAGCCGAAAAACTTACATGTTCAACTTAATGATGTGAATTAAATACTCATAGATATAATAGTCCAGTATATAGACTCATAGAACCTATGTATCAGTCGATTAAGAGTTGAGACGCGATACCCATGAGCTGTAGTACATCCCTAATTAGCTCATCACTAGAGATATTCCCATGTAGCATTAGCCAACTAGCACCAAATTACACTCTGCCAACTTCCAGAATACAACAGAGGGAGGAAGGGAGGGAGGGGGGGAATTATCATTGGAAAGCGCCAAGCCATTACGACTATATAGCACTTGGAAGAGGTCAGGATAAGGATTTGGGATGGGACGAGAGGAAAGAAATAGTGCCCAACCACTTGGACAGTTGGGGATTGAACGCCGATTTGCATTAAGCGAGAACGTCGTTCTACCGTCCAGTCCAAGTGGTTGGATGATGGAACATAACATAACTAATTAAACACAAGGCAAAGTTAGAAAAGATTCAAAGATATGCCACCAGACTAGTCCCAGAATTGAGAGGTATGAGCTACGAGGAAAGGCTACGGGAGCTAAACATCATGTCCCTGGAAGACAGAGGAGTAAGGGGAAACATGATCACCACCTACAAAATTCTCAGAAGAATTAACAGGGTGGACAAAGATAAACTATTTAGTATGGGTGGAACACGAACAAGGGGTACAGGTGGAAACTGAGTATCCAAATGAACCACAGAGACATTACAAAGATTTTTTATAATGTCAGAGTAGTTACCAGATGGAATGCATTAGGCAGTGATGTGGTGGAGGCAGACTCCATACACAGCTTCAAATGTAGATTTGATAGAGCCCAATAGGCTCAGGAATCTGTACACCAGTTGATTGACAGTTGAGGGGCTGTCAGTCCTCTCAATTTGGCAATCAGAGAGTTTGCCAAAGAGCCAAAGCACAACTAGGTGGGTAAACACTTTTTTGTTGGCAGTTTGGATTTTTTTTGGGGGGAAGGGGGCGTTTTGGATTTTCTTTGTTGTGCATTTAGGATTTTTTGGATTTGAAAATTAAACTAAACCTACCACCCACGTTATATATATTGTAATTATTTATTTTATTAAAACTTTTGTTTACAAAAAATGAGTTACAAGCTTGGTAACAGATAAGGTACAAAGTTGTTTGTTATAAGTTGTGGAGTTCCTGCAGTTCCTCAGATAGCGGGCAGGAACCCTGAATGCAGTTCCATTTCCTCTGTATCGCCACGCTGAGGCGCTGGAAAAGGAAGCTGGCAGCTCTTGGGTTCGTCAGTACTTGCGTAACTGCTTCGTGAATCTGGCCCCTTGGGTCTATTGTAATTTCATTACCCTTAAGCCAAAAATGTCGCAAATTTTAATTTTGAATTTAGTTTATCTTGTGATTATTTATAGTTTTCTTGCTAAATAATACAGTGAGGATTTTTAGAGTATATATTTATTTTTACACTTGAAAATTGAAATTGAAATAAGTTTATTGAGGTAAAATACACACAAAGGGATGAGGTAGCTCAAGCTATTCTCACCCCGTTATTTTTACACTTTATTTTGGCTAACCCCCCCAATAACCCCGTAGCTTACGCAGCCTATATAGTGCTATCTGCCTCTGCTGAATTCAATTCAATTTTCATTCAAAAGAATGTGTGTGTGTGTGTGTGTGTGTGTGTGTGTGTGTGTGTGTGTGTGTGTAATTACCTAAGTGTAATTACCTAAGTGTAGTTACAGGATGAGAGCTACGCTCGTGGTGTCCCGTCTTCCCAGCACTCTTTGTCATATAACGACAGTTATATGTCATATAACAGTGTGTGTGTGTGTGTGTGTGTGTGTGTGTGTGTGTGTGTGTGTGTGTGTGTGTGTGTACAAAGAACATAAGAGTAATGTACAATTGTAAAGACAGGAGTTACAAAATCTATGAAGCCACTATTACGCAAAGCGTTTCGGGTGAAAACGTAAATTAAAAAATAACACAAAATTATTTACCATGTGTGAGGGGATAAAACACTTAATACTATAGGAGAAATCAGCTAACAAAATGAGAACGGTCATGTAAAATAACAAATGAATTAAAAAAGAGTGACACATAAAGGAAGATAGGCATATAGACTGTCATATCCCTTCTAAGTGTTATATAGTCATATACTGGCTTAGTACTTTCTTTTGATAGTTAGCTTACTTTCCTATTTCCAAATAAAAGTATGCTCACAACTGAAGTTCTGATTTATTTGTGAGAGTTAACTGTAAGTAGACTAGTACTCATTTATTTTAATTCATTCTATTGTTTCCCCTCAAAGAGTCAAAGTAGGAGTCGTTTTCTGTGAAAAAATCAGCTGGTCAGCTTTGTTCGGTTTAGCTGCCTTATGAACCTTAATAAGAAGCTTATCGTATGTAATAATTAATTAGATATACAGTTCGTGTAATTTGTCTGTTGTTGTGTAATATATGAAGATGCTTAGATAGTTACCATAAAAGAGTGCGTGTAGTAAGTGTGAGAGTGAGGGTGGTGTGTGGAGGGAACCGGACGCTGAGTGACAACAACAACAGTCATGGCGAGGAGGCTGCTGCTGGCTTCTGTTGCCTCGCTTTTATCAACACTTGTAACACACTGCCTGGCTCAGGTGAGAAGTCTCTACCACATATATCACCTCTTAACCAGTTTTACTATAAATACTGAACAATACCTTGCTATGACTGAGGATTAGGCATGAATTTGCATAATAAGTTATGCGCTCTGTGATGACTAAAAGTGAGTCAGAAGAGTAGTGATTATTGACCCACTAGTACTGTACTGACCTCTTTTAACGTGGCTGGTTAATATGTGGCACTAGTGTGAGCTCTAGACACCACACACTTCTCATGCACTCTGGTTGAGCTCACTTTGCCAAGTGTGAAACATTTATTTTTGACCTTGGCAACTGTCGTGATGCTTCTGCCTTAAGTTCATGTCTTAATATCAATTTTAAGGGACATAAAATATATATATATATATATATATATATATATATATATATATATATATATATATATATATATTTATATTAAAAAATATTTAATGCTAAAAGTTATAACCATATGTATTAATAGTGTGGTGAGTACTAATAACGTAAATGAAAATGGATAACTAAATAATGTGTGTACAAAGACTATGGATAGTTTCTTTTAATAATAATAATAATAATAATAATAATAATAATAAATGTTTATTCAGGTAAAGTACATATGTATAAGAGGTTTTACAAAAATTGATAGATTTATAGATAGAGCTAGTATATACAATGCCTAAAGCCACTATTACGCAAAGCGTTTCGGGCAGATTTTATAATTATTTTAATTATATTCAGCATTTGGATATATAATCTGTAAGGCAACTGTTGTGGGGTTAGTCACCATCTGAAATAAATATGATAAGCTACATTGAAACATAATGAATTTACTACACAAAAACTACTTACACATTGTCATGGTAAGTAGTGTCATTAGATATAATATCATGATGTTTATCTACTTCCAAAAATTATCGTGTGAAGTAATATCGTATTATCAAGCATTTCCTAATACTGTATTAGTTTAGCTTTGTTATTCTGTATTTCCACATCTCCCAGCCCCAAGTTTATATTTCTATAATTAACATTGTGTATCTGCTTTGCACAAAGTATTGATGATATCATTGATTGTATAATTTGTTTCTATGCTAATTCATGCTCCTCTTTATAATACTTCTTGGTTAAAGATGTAAACAAACACTAAAATGAGAGTAGGTTTTGTTTGTAGGTTTGACAAATTTGACTGCAAGTGCTTTGACGTATCAATATATGATTTTGTAGAAATAAGTACTGTACAAGAAGATTCTTCCATTCCTTGCACATTGTTATTTTTATTTTGAGTATTGATTCAATAGACTTTTCCACATTACACAGGGTAAGATTGACTATCCTGTTTCTGGGATCCTTAAGAGCCGCTCAAATGCTACCAGTGATCACTCTGAGAAATACTGCATAATCTTCTACAGGACTATTAGCCATCTAGCTGGAAATGAAGACTCTGCTGTAAGTCATTAATATTTAATTAAAAATTTAAGTATTCATTTGGGAATAATAATGAATTGAATAAGATAAGATAGACTTATTGTGCAGACCATTTAATAGAGCTACAGGTACAGTATATATACAGGTATACAGTACTCTGTAAAGCCTCATATAAGACAACTAAACAGAAAATAGAGAATGTTGTTTATCTCATATAATGATAAAATTTATATACTGTAGCATAGTTAATGAGTAGAAGTGTTTATGCATGACACTGTGTAATAGATGATTAAGTCTTGATGATATGTACCTTGAATTTTTGGGATTTTATTTTTAATGTCAATATTTAATGTATCATTATTAAAATATTATTGTATATAAAATATAACAAATATAGTAATGAAAATCATAATATAAAATTTATTTCATTGACAAAAATGTAGCATAATTTATTTCTGTAATGAAGTACTTGATTTATTGTATCGGTGGAGATAACTTATGGAGAAAATGGATGAGAAACTGTTTGAGCACGTTTATCGTGAATGACATAAGGACAAGAAAGAATAGTTGAAAGTCAGTTTAATAAATTGAAAGTCAGGTGTGTTAGGCACGAGTGTGGCACATCTTACTGGGTAGGGTAAATGGGAGAGTTGTGAAAAATATAATTATCAAAAGTGTTTGGAGGTAATGTAGTAGTTTCATTCATATCAAAAAGTGTGAGGGAGTATGGGAAGTAGTGTGTTTGTTAATCAATGAATATGTTTGACTAGGAGTAATTTAGATTGAGTTGTAGTTTTAAGTCCATGTACCCTAAAGTGTAAGGAGATTGTTAAAATTAAGAATGATTGGAGGTGCTCTGCAATCAATTGGTTATATTGAGAAGGTTGTAGATTGTAGGAAAGTTACTGTGCTGGGGAATATGAATGTGAGGATTGGGAATGAATGCAGAGTTGTTGTTGGTAATGGGGGTGTACCAAGTGTAAATAGCCATAGGAATTTTTTGGGGGATATGTGGGGTTTGTTTCCTGTCAAATGCTTCCTTTTTAGATGATGTAAGGGGAAATAATTTTAAGAATGTGAATGCAAAATGGGTATGCATATGTTAGGGATGAGAAAGTGAAAATTGTAGATTGTTTGTAATTGTAAGTTTGTGAAAAGGGAGGAAAGAAAAGTACTCTGCATGGTTCAGTAAAGTGGTTATTATATATAGAGGTTGTTGTTAAAGATTCACTACCTGGAACAAAAAGTTCCAAGTAACACGGGCTATGGTGAGCCCGTAGATAGTTATATAGAGGTTATTTTAGTAATATGTATGGGTCAAGTCAACAACACCTGGAGTGGATGTGTATTATATTGGGGTTAAATTGTTACTGAAATGTTTGTATAAGGATACGGCTGTGTTCTGTGAGAAACAAATGAGATATTGGTTTTGTAGCTTCTTAGAATCACAAGGCAGTGGGATTTGTAGTGTAAGATAAAATGGGGAGAGAGAGGTACTGTAATAAGTTTTAAATACTTAAGGGGCAGTGTTAGATTAAAATGGATTTATGGGTATTTGAAGTGGCAGGGATCAATCATACAAGCAATGGAAATGAATTTTTGTTAGAAAAGAAACTGGTATAAATATGTTTCATGGGTTTATCAGTGAGGAAGTATAAGGAAATGAAATGTGAAGGGGTGGAATGGATTAATGCAGTATACTTAAGTGATACAGTACAGACATGTTAATAGAATGTTTGAGACTCATAATAAGAAGTGCCTGTAATGATGGAATATATGGCAGATGACCAGTATCTGGGAAGGGAAGAGTTGAACAGTACATGGAAGAAAGGGTGGCATTGGTTAGGGGGTGCTAGAGAGGGGGAGGGGGGTGAGGGAGAGAGAGGGGGAATAGGATGGAGGGAGGGAGATAGGTAGGTTAATGTGGTGATAGTCTCCTGGAGAAACTGTTTCCACCCCCTAAATGAGCTCCCAGGTGGGAATAAGGGTTTTAGATAGATATAACCAACCATTAAGTGTCATGATAAAGAAATATCAGAATATACTATATAAGTTTTTAATTTGTTTGTAAAGATTTCACATTCCTCATTTGTGTTTTTCAGCTATACTTACCTGTATCTGATGCCCTGGAGTGGGATGTGTGTGATGAGACAGAACTCCCACCAACAAGCATTGAAAATAGATACATCTTTGTCTCTTCAGAAAATAATTGTTCAGCTTTGGAGAGAGCCAGCCGAGTTCAGGTAAAAGAGACGGATGTAGATGTAGGTTACCATGAAATACCATGAGTTTGTGGTGCAGTGTAATTTAAGAAAACAAAAATATTTATATCAAATTAAAATTTATTTGTAGTTTGTGGTAAAGATAAAAAGAACATCAAATATTGAGCATTTTTTCCCAAAACTATAAAAACTTGTAAGTCTCCACTATACTATATTATCACTGTGAGAGTACAGCATTTATACAGTATTTTAAACAAAAGCTTTTCTCATAATTACATTAAGGAATTTCTTGTTACATTTAACTGGCAAGATGCTTTGGTTATATAAATACTGTACTGTACCTAATTAATTACAGTATCTAGTTCAGCTAAATAATAATATCCCTAATACAACAAGTACAGCAGGTTTTGATCTGTTATGAACAAGCCAGTAATAGGGATTGTTAATTAAGCATGTTATTTTCTACTTAAAAGGAATGGAAAGAGAAATGGAAGTAGTTTGTATGTACTGTATATAGGTTTAATTATTTCTGCTAATAATGTTACAGAGCTTGGGAGGTGCTGGTACCTTAATTGTGAAGGAAAAACTACAAGCTCCAAAACAAAATGACACAAACTACAACTTCACTCTTGCCTTCATTCAGAACTCAAGTTATGTCAAAATCATGGTAAGTTAAATAGTTGAAAAAGGTATACAGTATAATAAATTAAGTTATATTGTTAGCACAGATACAGTTCATCATTGAAAATCCAAATAATTCAAATGTCAAAACACCGAAAATCAAAAACTATTAAAACCTAATAAAAACTACAAGCCGTCCGAACAAGTTTTTAGTTAATTTTTTTTTTATCTGATTAGGGCTTCTCAAAAGAGATTGTTGTTCAGCATTGTTTATGGTAGCTCATGTTTTAAGATACAGTACAATTATATTTCACTTACAATGCTATAGCAAATTTAATTTTAAAGAAAACTTCCCTCATCATTTTGCCTTGCATACATACTTTGTGTAATTTTGTTGGAAAATAATTGAATAATGCATTACTGCTATCTAACATTTCTTTATATATATTATTTTACAAGTAAATCCTGTTAATTAGCCTAAGCAAACCAACTGAGTAAATAATGTAACATAAAAAGTGATGCATATGTTATTGTAGTATGCGGGGTAAAAGGTATCTAAAATAAATACAAAAATATTATAAATTCTCAGTTAGGTTGGTCCTGACTGTTTTGGATTTTTCAATGCTTGAAAAATACCATTTTTGTTTTTATAGTACAATGTATGTACTGTATTGCAAAGTCAACATTGATGATACTCAGTTTTGTGTGCAATATCAGGGCTGTCAATGAGATGGCTATTTAGGGATCTATTTTTTCCCAAGCTCAGTAAATTTATTATAGTTGTATGTATTTACATGGAAATGTCTGTCTGTCAAGGGTTAGATGCAGACTAGCATCACCCAATTTTTCCCAGTAATTGCTATTGGGTACATGCCCACCATAAGTGGGTTAGGATTGGTGTCAATGAAAACTGCTAGGTTATACTATGCCAATGTCATGCCCATGAACATTTTCCAGTACAGTAGATTGATGACTGTGCTATATGACTCGACTCTGAATTATTATTATTATTATTATTATTATTATTATTATTTTGTAATATTGGAAACTATGTGCTATTATGCTAAATCAACAAAATTATAATCATAATACTTGCCCTTTAACCCCAAAAAACTTTTATATGTTTTCCTTTAGACTTAATGGATTGTGTGTTGTTGAAGTTTTCTTGCACTGTTATAGATTAGTGATATTATAGAAGAAAGTAGGGATGAGGGAGGAAGAAGTGAAGGAGAGGAAGGGAAAGAGACAGACAGAAACAGGAAGAGGGGACAGAAAAAGGACACAGACAGGCAGACAGACCTGGGGTGCCTGGGTCAACCTGGGCACTGCTAAGTATCCCACCTTGCACACTATATAAAAAAAAATGTGCAACAAAAATGTCTAGAGATGAAATACTTCCATACTGCTGCATCTTAGATGGGGAGGAAGGATGTACAGTATCTCCCAGGATTTACTGGACAGAAACTACTTGTTAGGTTTGTCTTTTGTTAAAATCATAAGACCACCTGTGCAAGTGTAAAATTAGGTATACAGTATTTTAATTATTCAAACACATGCCAATAGCTTTGTTTTTTTACTTAAACTATATTCATTGCATGTGTGATTAAACAGTCTGTCTACTCATAGGTGCAGAGGTTGTATACATGTCTGCTCTCTAAGTAAACATAATTTCCTGCCTTATGCATTAATAGAAACTTAATATATATATACAGATATTCACTTGAAACTTTGATGACCTATTGGGATAATAAAAACAATATAGTGTTATACTTAATAACATAATATTCCATTCACCTGGGCTGTATGGGTCTCAAACCCTGGACCCAACAAATGTGAGGCTGTAGCTCACATTATTTATTTAATAATGTAATATTGAATGTGAGCTAACATTCAATATTATTTAAAATAATATTGTTTAGATAGCCTATGAAACTGAAGCCAGGTAATAAAGTGTTGCTAATAAGTCATTGCAATGTTATTTATATTTCTTAACTTTGCTCTGCAGGAAGGTGGAGAAAAAGTGACTGTTGGCCTGTATTCCCCAGAGGATTCCCCACTGCCCTTGAGTCTTGTCGTTATTTGGTTCTTGGCTGTCTTCTCTGTTAGTGTTGGTGCTTTCTGGTCTGGGAAAATACGCCACAAGTTGTAAGTCTTTCAAGATTTTGAGTTTTAATTTATTTGAGAAGTTTCCCCGTTACATTATATACCATTTGTTATTTTATGTTTATGTATTATTTGATAAAAATATCTATTTTTTGGTCTGTCACCAATGTTGTTTGGTTCCAAAAGTTGCATAGCCATATGATATCTAGAAAACGTCTTTGCGTATTGGCATGAAACTTTCAGGACTTATGTATGCTAGTGCAAGTAAAATCCCAATTATTATTGATAACCAAACCACACATCATGGGAGCGATGTTGTGATGACAGCGATGTTGTTGTTTTAGATTCAACCACTCTGAATAAAAGTTCCAAGCAGCACGGGCTATGGTGTGCCTGTGGGCTCACCATAGTCACCAATGATCCAGTCACCAGTCAGCATTTGGTCATTGTCTCAGAATCTGATTACAGAATTGCTTCAAAATTCATAAATATTTTACTTAGTGTTGTATAAAACTATTTTCAGTGGCAACCTAGCATCTTATCATCCTCACCCTTGTACAAACTTATCCATACTCTTCCTCTCCCTACCCTCCCATCCTCTTCTTTTTCCCAATTTCTCTCTACTCTTCCAATTCTTGGCAGCAATTAACCCCTTCACCACAAACATTTCATCACCTTGACCACAACACCATCACCACCACTGTTGCTGCAGGAAGTTAGGGGCTTCCTTTGAGTAACATTGGCCTGGGATGGGATTCTCACCCAAGACCAAGCTCCTCAGTTTTTCTCTGTTATAGGATGCTGCTTGATCAGATACATTAAGCTAGAAGGCAGGGGGCCTGGATTACCTATGATTCCTTGTGGGTTTTGTTGACAAGGCCTGTTGGTGCTTGCTTCTTCACTTGGTTAAATGTTTTACCCAAACTTGGTTTAAGTGACTCATTTGCTTTGCACAGTGTGCTCAATTTGTGTTGCCTATGAAGGGTGCTGACATTTTACACTTCTTCACAGGTTTCCTCAATCCTGTTTTCTTGTGTCGAAGTCCCTAGGGAATTTCTTGTTATTCCTGTTGTGGGACGGGACCAATGCATGGAAAATAAACGAGCTCTCACTGAGGTTGGTTAATACAGTGCTTGCATTTCCTAGCTCTGGCAACAGGCTTCTTATTCTCCTTAGCTGGTAGGGAATCTCTTGTTCTCTGTGTGGAATTAGATACTGCTCTGCAGGTCCCAGGTTCTTGATTGGATGGAAGTTGCTTCTGTCCTGGGTGTTATTTTGTCTGCAGGCACACTTGATTCTGTCACCCGGACTCCACACAATATACTCCTATTTTATTGTAGGACATGGCTTTTGTGCAGCACCGTAGTTCTCTACTTTGTGCAAGATCTCGTCAGTTTTAAGGTTTGTTTGCCGAATTTGGCCAAGTTGTTTTCCACTGCCAGGAACTCTTCTCTTGGTTTCAGTTTGAGTTTGCTCTATTAAACAGCTCAGATTCTGTGTCAGTCTTTTCTTCAGCTTAGACAGCAGATGCATCCTGATCCATGTTGTAACTAGCAATGTTAATATGCTTCAGGCATTTTAACATGTAACATTTTCCAGGTTTTCTTTATAGATTCTTGCTTTAATTAAGATTATATTTCTCAACTTTTCCACTTTATTGAAGCATGGCTGAATTTACATAGCAATGAAAATGAGCAAAAGTTATGTAGCAGACAAAATTTTAAACTGCCAACCACACTCCCTCACATATTAAGCATAGTGCAAATTCTTATTTATTTATTTATTGCTCCATGAATTAGAAAACTGTGTTTTCATTTATAATAAATTTGTGATCATGATTGTCAAAATAATGGAGGGGTAGGATCATGGTGGGTGTGGAAGGTTGGTGGGTGGCCGCCACTACTCATTACATTGCAAGGATAGCAAGGGAAGAGAGACTGAGGAGTGAGCATGTGGGTGGTGACTGACAATGCAACACTGATGTTAGGTACACTTCTAGTTGCCATTTGGGGATTACTTGTTGCAACAATATTCAATTCTGCTGGAAATATGATAATATAGGAACATGCAGTTTCCCTAAGGTTCCATTGGTCCATGTGAGGTAAGTCCTATGTATTCCTAACATAAGAATACCTGAAACTGCAGAAGGCCTACTGGTCCATACAAGGCAGCTCCTGTTTATACTGACATAAGAATATGGTGCAATAGGAATAATGTGATGTTGCCTTTTCACCTTGTTTCACTATCTAGAACTTATAAAAACCACAAATCGGTGATATCTATGTATGCATTTGCATGTAAAATGTGTTATGTGCAATTGTAAGACTTAGGTACCATATAAACATTTATATAAATACAGGATGTGCATATAAGCACTGTATATACATATAGTTCCATTTTCATTCCAGAAAAAAACAGAAAGTAACAATAATAAATGGGAACATAAATTCCTATGCAGCATCCTAACTCTTATGTCAAAAATTTGGGATTGAGCCTGGTGCTCCAGCCCCTGGTGCTCCAGCCCCTGGTGCTCCAGCCCCTAGGCAACTGAAATAAGTATTTTCCCCTGATCAGTGTGCTGTACAATGTTATACAATACCAAAAGAAAAAATATTTGTTTAAATTTTTGTTTTATGAGCACCAGGAATGTACCTTATTTTAGGTGCAAATTTTGAGGTTAATGAGATATCCATCTGGTCAATAGGGATGGGTAATTGAATATTTTTATGTCAGGTCAATTGGAAAATCTGGAAAGAGGTAATCCGAATAATGGTGGTTCTATTGTACAGATTAAATTTATTTCGGGGTTTAACGTCCCCTGCAGCCCGGTCCTCGACCCGGTCTCCTTTTTGTTACACATCCCCAGGAAGCAGCCCGTAGCATCTGTCTAACTCCCAGGTACCTAATTTACTGCTAGGTGAATAGGGGCATCAGGGTGAAAGAAACTGCCCATTTGATTCCGCCTTCTCCGGGGATCGAACCCAGAGCCTCAGGACTACAAATCCAAAGTGCTGTCCACTCAGCTATCTGGCCCTCTGGTAATATTTATTTTTGCTTCTGAGATGTCTTTGCTGTAGGTCAGCTGCTATGGATAGTCCTTGATCTTTGTTGTATCTACTTTTCAATTATCTAAACATCTAAAAATATGCAACCTGTTTGCTACCCCATTAATTCAAAAAGAGCATTTTCACCCACAAAAATGCACACCTCCCAATCCTTTCGAAAGTACATCCACAAATAAACCTCCTCTTTAATGACCCTAATATTCATTTCAATAATATCCATCTCTAATCCTTGAGATATATGAGTGAGCAGTGTGGCCATGATGGTGAAGATAATCAAGAGGCTTACCATGAGCCTGTCCTACCGCACGAAGAGACTTCCATGAACCTATCAGCTAAGAGCATCCTTGGGTTTGTGGTGCTGATGTGTACCATGCTGCTCAGTCTCTACTTCTTTTACCATATTCTGGGTAAGTCTTCAAGGTGACTGGTGTGTGCGAGTGTATGTATGTGTAATTACCTAAGTGAAGTTACAGGATGGGAGCTACGCTTATGGTATCCTGTCTTCCCAATAATCTTTGTCATATGCCACTTTGAAACTACTGATAGTTTTGGCATCCACTGCCGTTTCATTTGTTCCAACCTTCTACAACTCTGTTCACAAAAGATAAACTTTTGTATGTATTTTGGCACTTTTGTTTCCTAAGATTGAAACTTTGGCATCTTGTTCTTTAAGGTGCAGATTAAAAAATTTCCTCCTTATATATTTTTTATTTCTGATACTATTTGGTATATACAGTAGTGATAATATCGCCTCTTCCTTCTACAGTATCTTCTAGCCTCAGTATAGTATATTTAACATTTCTAATCTCTCCGTGTAGTTCTTGTTTTTCAGTCCTGGAAGCCGTTTAATAGCATGTCTTTGGACCCTATCCAGTTAATGATGATGATCTTGAAATATGGGCACCATACAACTGCTACATATTCCAATTTTCAGCTTACAAATGTCATGAACAATTTTTTGAGTATTTCACCATCCATATATTTAAAAGCACTTCTGAAGTTTGAAAGGCTCCTCACATAATGGCCTTTTAAGTGGTCCTATGGTGGCAGTTTACTATTCAGAACTACCACTAGATTTCCTTCATTGTCCAAGTTCTTTAATATCATTTCATATAATTTGTAGGTTGTGTGTCCGGATTCTTCTGATTCACATTCCATAATGTGGCATTTATTCACATTGAATTCCATATCATGTGTTGCTCCATCATTTATCTTTTCCAGGTCATCTTAAAGGGCATGACAGCTATTTAAGTCGTAGCCTTAGTAGCTTAGCAACATGAGCAAAGACATTATTATATCTATGCACAGTATTTTCTCTGGTGGATCATTTATAGACAATGAACATTTCTTGGTCTGGTACTGAACCTTGTTGTACTCTGCTAATAACATTTCTTCAGTCTAATACATTGCCTCTAATAACTTCCCTCATTTTTCTGCCAGTTAGAAAAGTTTTCATCCATATCAGAGGTCTGCCTTTCACCCTTCCAGCATGTTCTAACTTCCAGAACATCCTCTTGGGACTTTGTCAAAAGCCTTTTTCAGGTCCAGATAAATGTTGTCAACCCAACCACCTTTTTCCTATAATATTTCTGTAGCTCTGTCGTAAATGTTAAGTTAATTTTGCTACATGGGAGCATTCTGTTCTAAAGCCATTCCATCTGTTTGTTACGTCATTTCTTTCCAGGTGTTCTACCTATTTGTTTCTAATTATTTTAAGTGATTTAACTCACACATTTGTCAGTGATATAGGTCAATAATTTAGAGGGCTTTCTCTGACACCATACTGTATTTGAAGATGGGAACAATTTTTGCCTTTTTCATGCGTCTGCCAGACTCCCTGTATGTAAAAGATGCCTGAAAAATTAATTGTAGTGGAATTCTCGGCTTGGGTGCATTTTCCATCAGAACTCAAAGTGAGACTCCATCTGGACCAACTGCTTTGTTTCTTCCTGGCTCCTTGACCAGTTTTTCTATCTTGTCTAGATACTTCTATGTACTTTATATGTACTTATGCTCTGAACCCCATATTGTCTAGTTTTCTAAAAACCTCATTTTGCATAAACACTTTGGAAATGTTTGTATAGTGTTTCACACTTTTCCTTTTCAATCTCTGAATTTGTTCCCCATCTTTACTCTCTGGATTTTATCCTTTACATACAACTTGCCTTTTATATCAATTTATAGAATGGATTGGGTTTTGTTTTACATTTTTCCTATATTTTTCTGGGGGAGCCCCTTCGGCTCCCCGGAGCTATCCAGGCTGATATATATATTATTAGACTTTGCCATCAGTCATTGTGAATGAAGTTCTAGGCCTACTAGGCCTCAGTAATTATTTCTTGTTAGTTTGTATTGCTGGTATTTCTAGTGTTAGGACTTCCTATATTGATTGAATATTTGTTGTCTTTTGTTCTCTTGCTCTCTCCTAGTTTGTGTTGAACCCATCCTGCTTTCTAGTTCTGCATCTCTGTTTTGGTATAAGTGTTTTGTAATTTGCCATACATCTCATTTACTTCCTTGTCTAACAACAAATCTGTCTAATCAAATTCACTAAAGTCTCTTCATAGTCTCCTCTGGTGAAATCAAGTTTTTAAACTGATTCACTTTTCTCATTTTCTTCTCAAGTATAATGTATTGCCTATTTCATTTCCAAAAGGACATGGTTGCTCTTACCCAAAGTAGGAAGATACTGATTGTCAAATATCTCTTCTTCTTTCCTGGTAGATATCAAATCCTGCATTCACTAAGAAATCACACTAACATGATACAGTATATATCAATAAGAAAATAAATTGGAGCACTGAGGTGACTCGACCAGTGATCAGGGTACTCACAGCTGCGCACCTTACCTCTGTACCATGGCATGGGGTAAGTTATACAACCTGGGATTCCACTGAATCCTCAAGAAGTCTGGAGGCTTCTGCTGAAGCCAGTCCAAGTTTTTATGTATTACCCCCATGCAGTCTGGTGTAGGTAAAGTAGTTTATTAACTATGCATTCCAGCTTGAGATACACAAAGAAATCACACTAATGTAACATATATCAATGAGAAAATCAATACCTTACCTTCATTAGAGTGCATGGGGGTTATATGTAAAAACTTAGACAGGCTTGGACTGCCCTGGTTGAATAGAAAATTTGTCTTAGGAAAGCAGCCAGTTGCTCAGTAAGGATCTTTAAATATTTAATCAAATCCTTATTTCTTGTTTTCATAAGATTCTTGCATAATTCATTTTTTCTTTTCAGTGTTTGTGATCATTGGCATGTTCTGCATTGCATCAGGCGCAGCTGTGTTTTGTTGTTTGCAGCCTCTCGTCTCGCGAATTCCTTGTGGAACTTGCAGGTAAGTTGTTAGTCTAACCCCCTCATCTTGTATAACTGCCAGAGTTGCTATATATTGTTTTTTTGCTGTTCTGCATATTCATAGTAGGTACTGTTCGTTAACTTTGTATTTAATTGAAAAAGGGAGAGGCTTTGTTCTTTATTTTATTTCTATCCTCTTTTCATTCCGTTTCACTAAGTTCCTTCCTGTAATATTTTAACCTTTACTTTTTTCTTAGAAATAAAAACCTAGATTGAAAATAGGTCTCAAGCTTTTCTTGCAAGTTGGCCAATATCTTATTCACTTAATAGACTAACACATGAACATATTAAGTATGGTAGGTGAGAAATGTTTTATTGTATTTCAGTAGATATTTAATACAAAGTAACAGATGGATGATAGGATTGTAAGAAGAATTTAAAAGAATGAAGAATGGGAGGTTATAGATAAGCAAATACTGTATCGTGAAAGTGGAGGAGTACATATGGAATAGTTCTCAAGAGCCGCTCTCTCACAGTGGACATCAAAGAGAATGGAAAGAATGCAAAATGCAAGCTTCATGTACTCACCATATAGGTTAATCTTCTGTTTGCCTTTTAATTTTCATTTTTATAAGAAGAGGAAGGCACAGAATTTTATCTAACTGTTTTGGTTACTTGCAAGTGTCTTTTTGTTTATATGTAAGATACTCTCTTGGGGTACTAACTCTTTAAAATTGAGCCTCTTCCTGTTTGTGTTCTTACTGTGTCATGTCATTTTGTTTATCCTGAATTCAGCTTTGCAATTTTAACCTGTTCTTGTAAATTCAAATTATGATGCAGCTATTACTGTAGCTTTGCTCACTTCAAACTACAAAATAAAAATCTTAAATTATTAAAAAATTAATAATAAAAGATAAAAGAATTCTTTTAAGAATTTTTCAGGCTTGGTTATCTAATGAAGTCATCAGTCCTTACTTGCTAATATTATGAATGAATAATACTATAAATGAATAGCACAGTGGTTCAAATCAAGTTTTTTTTTTTTAAATGCAGGACACCATACTTCAACATCTATGTTGTCCGTGGAACGTTAGAGGTGCGACAGATCTTATTATTGATGTTTGCTTATGGGCTGACCATTGTGTGGGTGATCATGAGAAAAGAGCCATGGGCTTGGATACTTCAAGATATATTAGGAATTGCATTCAGGTGAGTCTTCATTTGTTCTCAAGCATTTTGGCTCTTAGGCAGTTTGGCTAAGATTTTTTTCCAAGCTAAAATAATTTTAGACTGAATTATTGTACATATGAACTTGTTCTACTGAAATGTCCTGCATTCTCTTTCAAATAGGGAAGTTAAATCCGAGTTTTAGTTGGATGGTGTTAGCTAAAAGCCAACACCATTTTTTTCATAACTCTCACAAAACATTATTTGAGATACTGTATTCTTATACTGCATATTAGGAATCAGAAAGTTAGGTGTAGGTTAGGAAAATATCTGCATGCTTTGAAAGCCATATGTATAGGCTGGACAGAATTTATTCAAGCTGGAAAATGTTTATAACAATACAAAATGATTTAATTTGGGAAAGAAGATTCACTAGTGTAATGAAATGAAAACATGTTAGTAGAAGGGTTAAGAAAGGCTTGAGAGATAGTATACCACTCCCAACCTTGGCTAGTGAAACTTGGATAAGAGTAAGGGCAGAGTTAAGAGAACAAGCAGTGGAAATGACTTGAAAAAAGCAGCTTTTGTGAGTATGTGGAATAGATTTAGAAATGAGCAAGTTTAGGAGAGATGTAGTATGAGTTAAAAGGTAATGAAATGTGGAAGGGTGGAGTGTGAAGTGCAATACACTGAGATGGTATGGACATATTAATAGAATGCATGAGAATCATTTAATGAGAAGGCTGTTCAAGGGGGAAATAAAGAAGGCTAGTATCTTTATAAGGGAAGAATGGAATAATGTGCGAAAGAAAATTGGTGGATGGAGGATCTCAGAGCTATGGCCATTCCCTAATAAGATGCTACCAGGAGGAAGCACAAAAGGTTCATCACAAGTGGATTACTAGATGTTGAACAATATACAAAAGGTACCAGCATAATTAAAGAAAGACTCCAACTGAGAATGATTGGTAAGCTAACGTGATATATTTAAAGAGACGTGGTTCTTGAGCATGAACACAGTAAAATATTATATGAAAAGGCAATGAATAAATCGATGATAGCTTTACATTGCACTGATTTAGGCAAATTAGCTTTACATTGCACTGATTTAGACTTGATTTGCTTAGGTCTTAATTAACTTGAAAAAAAGCTTTTAAAGTTAATTATGTTTGTATATCCATACTGTAATCATGGAAACCTGGTTCCCTTTTATTAATATTTTCGTTGATTATAGATAACTTAATTGCAAATTCAAAATATGAATTACAGCATCAGTAGTATTTATTCTTTTCAGCATCAATGTACTTAGATTGGTTCGGCTACCAAGCCTCAAGATCTGCACCATCTTACTGTGTGGTCTTGTCATATATGATATATTCTTCGTCTTCATCACCCCATACATTACGTCGGTAAGTGAATTATTTCATGCATTTACAAGGCTTATTTGAAAATACTCTTGATATTTCACTGGAATTAACATTCCTTTTTTGTTGTAACTGCTTGTTAAACAGGAAGAAAAATCATGAAAGTACAGTATATAGGATTAAATGGAATAAGTTGACACCTGTCATAGGAGATGATTATATTATATGTTAAGAAGAACAGCTGTCTAATGAATCATTAACCTGTTTACACGCTCCATGGGATAATGTAAACATTCTTTGATGTATGATAAAGCAATGGCTTATCTACTACTGATGCATGACATTTACTAGTCTTAAGCATTGACATTAAACTAAATTGAAAATTATTTGCTAAATACTGTATTGTATAAACCTATAACTGAGCTTAAAGATAGCTTCTTAAACTTAAACTTAGCATCTTCATTCATAAATTTAAAAATGTTATGACCATTCAAGCCCCTTTTTATTTTAATTTTTTATTTAGCCTTTAAAGTAGTGAGGATATTTAACATTTGATGCACATGATATTGAGATTTGTAGTAATTTAAACATCCAAAATTTAAGGGCATATGTAGAAAAATTGTGTACTGAACATTTCAGTACAGTGTATCTCTCTCTTTTATATTACCGTCAGGATGGGAAGAGCATCATGGTAGAAGTTGCCAAGGGTGGAGCAAGTCAAGAACAGCTTCCCATGGTCCTCAAGGTTCCAAACTTTGCATACGTAGAGATTTCCAACATCTGTCAGATTATGGATAACTACAACCTCCTTGGCTTTGGTGACATCCTCATCCCAGGTCTTCTGGTGTCATTTGTCCACTCATTTGATCTCCAAGTTGGAACTCCCTGTCGTCTCTATTATCTTGTGAATGTAATAGGTACGTATTGACAATTTTGTACACTTATGTTCAATGTCATAATAGCAGGTGTGATGAATTTAATAGATTTTTTAAGTCTGCAGGCAATTTTTTCCAACATAAATGGGATTCCCAAAGGTCATTACTAGTAGTTTGTCATTTAACAAATGGCTACCATGCATCATTCTCTGCCACTTTTTTTTGTCATGCATTAGACATTTATCTTTCCACAGTAATTTCTTAAGATTCACAGAACCTAAACAAAAATGCCAAAGTCTATTACAAGGGTATTCAGAAATCTTCTGTGCCATTTCTCTGTAATAAAAAGTGGAAAGTGGAAAGCATAAAGTTGAATGTTGTTGGTCAGTTAAAAGATCATTCAAAATAAAGCATTGGTCTTAATATTATTTATATAACAGTAAGCACCAATGTTTGGACTGAATTTTCTTTTTCAGATGCTATTTTCCTTTGCATCAGGAAATATTTACTGCTTCAGAAACTATTGAGCAGCATTTTGTGTACCTTATGTAATTTATAATAAAAAGTTTTTGTGTTGTTTACAATATGGGTCAGATAAAGCTATAAAATTTTGCTTTCCTAAAACCAGATCACTTGCAAATAAAAAAAGTAAATTGATATATAGAAGTAGAAGAAAAGTCGACAGATGCAACAGTGCCCCCACGACCCCATGAGACTGTTTTTTATCCGTCTTGGGGTCAGGTTTTTGTTGTGTGGCAGCTGTCACACCCAGGCAGACAAGCATACAGCCGCTCTCTATGTAGTGCATTTTTGGGTGAAAATAAAAGACAAAAGTTAATATTTACAAGGCTTTTACATCAGTGATTACTATACTGTACTGTACTTGTGATATGATGTTAATATTGGATCTACGAGCTTAGTAGCATGTGCACTCATAGCATGCCAAGACTTTTCAAGGAAGCTTTTGAGGAGCATTTGATATCAAGAAGTAAGACTTACAATATTGTTAAATTTTTACTATTGTTTAAATAGAAGGTACTTTTATATAGGGGAACCACCTCTGGTGCAATTGTAGGGACCCATAGCCTCATAGAAGAGAATAAAGATTATTCAGAGAAAACTCTCCATTTATCTCTAAAGATATGTACTTTTATTATATTGCTCATGTTTTTCTCTGGGCTGATGCCTCCCCTCCCATGAATGTAGGAAATGGGTTAATGAGAATGTATGTATCTACGTGTGCATTATTTGTTAGGAGCATCTGGGTCGAGACATTGTATGTAGAACTTAGTTTAGGGCCTCTATCTGTGCTCATGCTGCTGCCAAAAATTTAATGTTTCAAGTTAAATGTTTGTGCTTGTAAAAATTGTCCCAAGAACTTGTGATGCACTTTGCTAGTCTTGTATCTCTCCGCATGCTGAAGGCCATGATTCATGTTGTTTCCAACACAATCAGTTTTGTTTATCTGAATCAATTACTTTGAGTAAAAGGGGAAAATTTTCTTGAAAGTCAGCACGATATGTACAAACTTAGGGTAGGGTAAGAGGTGTGTCAGATCTTGAGAGATGAGATTTTTGTTGTTGTAAAAATTACATCAGAGAAGATCAGGAAATTTTTATTTAGAGTGACCTATAATGGTCACACTGTACCTTGAGTGTGTAATATGAATAGGAGTTTAAGACTAGTGATGGATTTTTATAGTGATGGAACAGCAATGTGCCCATGTATGTGTGTGAAATATGAAGTTAGTAGAGGGTTTCACTTACCAGGATGGAATAGGAAGAACAAAGATGGCAAGAGAGAGTGAGGAAAGATAGGGAAGCTGACAAAATGTATAATATATAGATTATTGAGAAAAAATGAGTGGGCGGGGGAAAAGGGTGAAAAAGATGGAGATAAAGAAGCAAAAAGGAGAGAGAGATGGAGGAAGTCAGATAATTAGGAAGGAAGAAAGGGAAGAAAAGTCTGGGACAAGGAAGCATCACTAGTTTTTGCCTGTGGGGGGGGGGGGGGAAGGGAGTAAGAGTAGGAATGCAACATTGCTGTGAGGGTTGTGGTTTATATGCTAGATACTCCCAGGTGCTTTGAGCTATGCATCCCTACAGTCTCCTTGTATGTGAGGTAAACAACAGCCTGGTTGCTCATCCCACTTACTACCAAACTACCATTGAGCCACAGCTAGCACATAAATCTTTGACGGTTAGATGAAGGTTTTGCCTGGTTTCTCATCGGCCCAGCATGCCAGTGACACACTCTTAATGACTTAACCACGACACCATGCCTGCCATCCCTCATCCCTTCTTCCTTCACTGTCAAGCTTTTGTGTGTGTTTACTATTTGTGCCTGCAGAATCTAGCTTTTAGCTCTTGGACCCTGCCTTTCTAACCAATCTATTTTTCCTCTATTATATCTACTACATAAATTTCTCTCCAACACACACGCACAAATCCCCAGGAAGCAGGCCATAGCAGCTATCTAACTCCTGGGTACCTATTTACTGCTAGGTTAACAAGTGCTTCAGAGTGAAAGACACTGCCCATTTGTTTTTGCCTCAACCAGGAAAGCTGTGTGTGTGTGTTATTTTGTGTTGCATATATCAATGTATCTGGATTTTCACTACAGTATATATAAACATATTAAATATTACAGAATACTGTATTGCATTCTAAACAACTAGTTTCTAATATTTCTTAATACTCTTCATATAGCAGTCTTGCAGATTTGTCACTTGGGTATTGTCTAAAGGTAACAACTTACAGTACTGTATTTTCATAAGAGTAATGACAAATGTTTTTTCTTTTACAGGTTATGGAACAGGATTGGTGGTGACATTCATTGCGTTATGGTTGTTGAATGGGGCCCAGCCAGCTCTGCTGTATTTGGTACCATTTACACTCATTCCCACATACTTTGTTGCTGCCATTAGAGGCGAGGTTGTGGCCATGTGGCATGGAGACTCTGATAAGGTCAGATTACCTGAAATTTAAGGTTTTGCATGTTTTACTGTACTTATCTTGATTGCATTAGTGCTAGCCTAGTTTTGGTATCTGGTTGAAGCGAGTCGGATTATGGTTTAAGTACGTTTACAGTCGAGTTTTCTCTGTAGTTCAGGCAGGGGCCTTTTTCTTAAGTTTTAAAGATGGTGTCTTAACAGAATGAAGAATCATTGTGATTTGCTCCATATTAACATTTTATTTGTCCAGGCATCATACTATTTTTTGTAAGAAAATTTCTCTGAAGAACCTCTGCTTGTACTGTAGCTATATAGCCTGCTCTTTTATTTTCTCAGGCAATGTCATGGCAATTCCTCAGGTAATTACTTTATTACTGGTAAATAATTAAGGAGTGTAGACTTGATTTATAGACTTTTGTAAAGGTCTGGTAGTGCCTACCCTTATTTGTGGATGTGAGGTGCTAATGTGACATGAATATGAAAATTAAGAATTGGAGCAGTATAAGTAGACAGTCAGAGATGCTACTGCAAAAATGTCATAGACAGACGTACTGTAGTGTGTTACTAATGTAATACTGTACTGTATGTTACTAATGTTACTGTAGTGTAGATTTACTAATCTATTTACTAATCTAACAATTAGTAAATTGTTAGATTGTGAAAGGTTTACTGATATGGTTTGGCAATATTGAAGGAGAAGCAGTAGAGAGTAAGGTTCAAGGAATCTGTTGAAAAGGGAATGTTTGACATTTTTAAATGACAACTTAGGGAATAACATTTCACACCTCATTGTATGAAGCATTAGGGGTACTTATGTAGATGTTTCGCTGAAGTTTGATGATGCTGGGTGAGCCAGTGTGGATGCATGGGAGTCACTGCAGGTGTACAGTGAGTAAGCATGGGAGTACAGGGGACTAGAGGTAGGAGTACGAGAGATCAAGGATGAGTGTAAGAGTGTGTGTGTGTGTGCGCATTTTGGTTTCTAGTGATTGAGTGGAAGTGCGTATTTGCTGTGTGCATTGTGTATATTTGCATTTGTCTTTATCTTTGCATGTTAGTTATGCATACCTTCACCTATCTATGTGTATTAATTAACCATAGAAGATTTCTTATTTTGGGGGGGACTACTATAGATGTTAGAAGCCATTTTTTTTATATTGAAATGGCTTTCAAGAAAAGTTTACTTTATCTAATATGATTACTAAAATATTCTCCAAATATTCTTTGGGTGGATATAAATAGTAACTGCTTCATATGGGGCCAATTGGCCTTCTGTAGTTTCCTTTATTGTTATGCTCTTATGTTTGTATTAATATCACTGCATCTTCAGTATGTACTAATTATACCCATCTAATTCATAGATAGGTATAATTATCCATCTAAGGCTTACAATAATAATACGTAATATCCTTGGATTTTCTAATGTAAACTCTTCTATCTTGGTTACCATCAGGTTGAGATCCAGGTTATTGAGGGGAAGTTCTCACCCAAGGTAGGTAGGTTATTACCACTGAAATGCCTGTTGGTTTTGTTGATGCCTTTGTAAGTGATGTTGCAATGTAGCGCAATCTATAACGTTCTCTCCGTACTGAGGATTGATTGTGGTTATAGCAATTAAAGGCCTCGGTTTGTTCACGAACAATACTGTACAGTATTTAAAAATTACAGTATGGTATGGTTGTCGTACTCTCTCGACTGACATTTATGTAGTTTGCTCATTTAAATGTGGATATGTCTGCTTAATTTGGCTCATTTGCTATTTGTGTGGGAATAGATTGATGTTGCATCTTGATGTTCGTGAGGATTATGCTACATACAGGTAATTAGTTTTGTTCATGTATTCATTACAGAATACATGTGCTTAAGTATCCTGGGCCCTTGTATTGGGAAAATACATAAATCCAATATCTTCGTTGCTTATTGTTCAAGTTCCATATAGTGAGGCCTATTTTAGCTGCTTCTTGTTCTGATACTTAATGCATAGCTCTGAAAACTTAATTTGGTTTAGTGTTTATTTTGAAATATTTTGATCAACAATTATTGTTTGATGGCAATCAAAATTTGTGCTATGCACAATTTATAGCCTGCAGAATGTCAGAAAATATGGATCATGTCTCTGCAGTTTAAAAATAAACTTCGGTAATGGACACCCAATCTGTCCAGATTGTACCGAAACATCGTCAATTCTTCATTTCCAGATTTGTGGCTTGTCTAATCTTCAGCCATGTTATTGTGACTCCTCATCTGCAAGTAAACTTCTTTACTGTAATTTCTTCTCCTATAGTAAGCTTCCATTAGCCACTAGTATCCATCAGCCAACAAAATTTAACCAGTATCATAAGCTCTATTATTTACAACTTACACGAATTGTTTCAAAGAGAAGTATGTCATTATTTTCTGTAAGAATAATTCATTTAGAAAATAAGTCATCTAGAAAATGAACATGTGCTGCTGTTCAATTTTAAAAATGTGATCATCCAATTTTAAAACTGAAATGCAATTTTAGCAAAGAATGTCAGAAAATGAAAACCATGAAAAAGCTCATGGTAAAGCTTTGATGATGATTAAATGCAGTGATGCTTTTGAAATTCGTGCAACAGGAACAAGCGTTTAGTGAGTGATGATTTCTCTACTTTCCTCTTGTCTTCGTGGAGCACTTCTGTAGCCACAATAATACTGCTATTGCCCCTCACCTTTCTCTCCTCATATTTCTTGCTCTTCATTTCTTATCACTCTCCCTTCCTGTCATCCCCTTCTTTGTTTCCCTATCTTCCATTGTGTCTTATTTATTATCTTTTATATACTTGTTTCTCATCAATTCTTCTTCATCCCTCCTTGTATAGAAGTACTGTACCTGTTACTTCTGACTTCTCATTCTCCATTCTCATTTTCCTCTTCTTCTTACTCCTCTTCTTCCTTCCCCTCTCCATTACTTCTCTTTATTCATCCTATTTCCTCCACATCTTCTTTCCTGTTCCTTCTCTTCTCCTCCTCCCTCTCTTCTCCTCCTCCCTCTCTTCTCCTCGTCCCTCTCTTCCCCTCCCCCTCCCTCTCTCCTCCCCATCCTCTTCCTCCCTCTCTCCCCATCCTCCCCCTCCCTCTCTCCTCCCCATCCTCCTCCTCCCCCTCCCTCTCTCCTCCCCATCCTCCTCCTCCCCCTCCCTCTCTCCTCCCCATCCTCCTCTTCCCCATCCTCCTCCTCCCCCTCCCTCTCTCCTCCCCATCCTCCTCCTCCTCCCCTCCCTCTCTCCTCCCCATCCTCCTCCTCCCCCTCCCTCCCCCTCTCTCCTCTCCATCCTCCTCTTCCCTCTCCTCTCTTCTCTCTCCTCTCTTCTCTCACTTCTTCACTCATGACCCAACAGCTGTGCCACATGAGGCAACTGACGTTCCCCTCTCAGAACCCCACCTCCCCATGCCACCCCATGTTCCTACCCCCCACCCCCCTCGAATCCCCCTGTCTCAGCTGCCCAACTTGCCCCTCCTGTTCTCCCTCTCAATTTTCATCTTCTGTCTTTATCTCCTTCCTACTTCACTAATGGGTTTCCCTATCTCTTCTTTACTTTCTTTCTTTCCTGTTTCCTTTCTCTTGTATCCCTTCCTTCTATTCCAGCTTCCTCTCACAGCCTCCTCTTTCTCCCCACTCTACCTCATTCTTCTCCCCACTCTACCTCACTCCTCTCCCCACTCTCCCTCATTCTTCTCTCCACTCTCCCTCATTATTCTCCCCACTCTTCCTCATTCTTCTCTCCACTCTCCCTCATTATTCTCCCCACTCTCCCTCATTCTTCTCCCCACTCTCCCTTCTTCTCACTCTCCCTTCTTCTTCTTCTCACTCTCCCTTCTTCTTCTCCCCCACACTCCTGACATCCTTCTATCCACTCATCTCGCATCCTTCTTCAGAGGAGCTGCCTCGTGTGGGGCCAATAGGCTTTCTGCAGTTATATTTGTTCTTATGTTCCTTGTGTCAATATCCCTCCTCCTCTTTCATGTCAATAACCCTCCACCCCCTCCTCCATGTCAATAACCCCCCTCCTCCATGTCAATATCCCCCCTCCTCCATGTCAATAACCCCCCTCCTCCATGTCAATAACCTTCCTCCTCCTTCATGTCAGTAACGCTCTGCCACCATGTCAATAATCCCCCTCCTCCATGTCAATAACCCTCCTCCTCCTCCATGTCAATAACTCTCTTCCTCCTTCATGTCAGTAACCCTCCTCCTCCATATCAGTAACGCTCTGCCTCCATGTCAATACCCCCCCCCCCTCCTCCATGTCAATAACCCATCTTTCAAGACACAATTGAAGCGGGCATGAACTGCTGGGTGAGAATGACTTAAAGCAGGCAGAAGAGGAGAGAAAAGGACTAGAGAGTGCAGGATAGAAGGATGGGTGTGTGAACAGGATGAGTGTGCCTGGCCAGCACCATCATGATACATATGTTAAAGAGCTCAACACACATTCTCTCCACTTGGGGGCTTCATTGGCTGGGGGAGGGAATGGGTGTTGGGCAGGGAGGGGAGGTTGCTGGGAAGGAAGGGAAGATGAGGAGGGGGTTGTGAGGGATGGGGAAGGGGTTGGAGGGGTGTGGGAATGGGAGGGAAGAGGAAGGGTGTTGGGAGGGGAAGGGATGTCTGTCCTGAGCTCAGCTGGCTGGTCGTCTCATGAGTCACTGGCTGCAAGATCGTGATATAACAGTAGTTGTGTTAACTAATGCCAGCAATATATGTACAATATATATTCCAGGAACAAACAAATCAAAAACAACCGGATTGGGGATCCGGTCGGCCAAGCGGACAGCACGCTGGACTTGTGATCCTGTGGTCCTGGGTTCGATCCCGGGCGCTGGTGAGAAACAATGGGCAGAGTTTTTCACCCTATGCCCCTGTTACCTAGCAGTAAAATAGGTACCTGGGTGTTAGTCAGCTGTCACGGGCTGCTTCCTGAGGGTGGAGGCCTGGTCGAGGACCGGGCCGCGGGGACACTAAAGTCCCGAAATCATCTCAAGATAACCTCAAGATAACAACAATAAAATTCCCAAATGCCAAACAAAATAATTCAAGTACAGCATTTTTATATACATATTCAAGTATTCACTACTATGGGGGAATTCACTCAGGTGGTGGGCAAGGGTTGGTGGGCGGGTGGTGGAGGCGGTGGGCAGAGGTGGGCGGGCGGGGAGGCCGCTGTTAATAGTCGGCGGATGGGTGAGGGTGGGCGGGGGAGGCCGCTGTTAATAGTCGGTGGATGGGTGAGGGTGGGCGGGGGAGGCCGCTGTTAATAGTCGGTGGATGGGTGAGGGTGGGCGGGGGAGGCCGCTGTTAATAGTCGGCGGATGGGTGAGGGTGGGCGGGGGAGGCCGCGGGCAATAGTAGGCGGATGGGTGAGGGTGGGCGGGGGAGGCCGCTGTTAATAGTCGGTGGATGGGTGAGGGTGGGCGGGGGAGGCCGCTGTTAATAGTCGGCGGATGGGTGAGGGTGGGCGGGGGAGGCCGCTGTTAATAGTAGGCGGATGGGTGAGGGTGGGCGGGGGAGGCCGCTGTTAATAGTCGGTGGATGGGTGAGGGTGGGCGGGGGAGGCCGCTGTTAATAGTCGGCGGATGGGTGAGGGTGGGCGGGGGAGGCCGCTGTTAATAGTCGGCGGATGGGTGAGGGTGGGCGGGGGAGGCCGCGGGTAATAGTAGGCGGACGGGTGAGGGTGGGCGGGGGAGGCCGCGGGTAATAGTAGGCGGACGGGTGAGGGTGGGCGGGGGAGGCCGCGGGCAATAGTAGGCGGACGGGTGAGGGTGGGCGGGGGAGGCCGCGGGCAATAGTAGGCGGACGGGTGAGGGTGGGCGGGGGAGGCCGCGGGCAATAGTAGGCGGACGGGTGAGGGTGGGCGGGGGAGGCCGCGGGCAATAGTAGGCGGACGGGTGAGGGTGGGCGGGGGAGGCCGCGGGCAATAGTAGGCGGACGGGTGAGGGTGGGCGGGGGAGGCCGCGGGCAATAGTAGGCGGACGGGTGAGGGTGGGCGGGGGAGGCCGCGGGCAATAGTAGGCGGACGGGTGAGGGCGGGCGGGGGAGGCCGCGGGCAATAGTAGGCGGACGGGTGAGGGTGGGCGGGGGAGGCCGCGGGCAATAGTAGGCGGACGGGTGAGGGCGGGCGAGGGAGGCCGCGGGTAATAGTAGGCGGACGGGTGAGGGTGGGCGGGGGAGGCCGCGGGCAATAGTAGGCGGACGGGTGAGGGTGGGCGGGGGAGGCCGCGGGCAATAGTAGGCGGACGGGTGAGGGTGGGCGGGGGAGGCCGCGGGCAATAGTAGGCGGACGGGTGAGGGTGGGCGGGGGAGGCAGCGGGTAATAGTAGGCGGACGGGTGAGGGTGGGCGGGGGAGGCCGCGGGTAATAGTCGGCAGGTTGGAAAGGCTGCGAATAATAGTCGGCGGGCGGGCGGGGGCGGTGGCTGAAGGTGGCAGCGGGTGGGACGAGGGCGACAGTGCTGTAGTGTTGTCACCCACTGTGCCTGTGTCCCCCACCCGGAGTGGTAGACTCATCATCTCTACCACTGATGCCTCTTGCTTGAATTCATCCCCGTCGTTAACTTTCCTCTACTTATTGTCATCCTCATTCTCAATCTAGCTTTTAATTTCAGGCCCTCTCCCCATTTAAATTTGCTCATCTTCCTGTCGACCCTTCACTCTTAAAAAAGAAAAGAGAAAAAAACTGTAGCTTCTGTCAACTGGAGCAAGCGGAGAGTCCTAGGCCTGTAAATAGTTTCACATTTAAGAGGTCCTCATTCACATTCCTACGATCCTCCCGAATTGGCAGCCTCATTTTACACACGTCTTACATAGCCTTCCCGGTTTGGTGCCTTCTTTTGATAATTACTTCAATACTTTACACACGTCTGTCTAAAGTCGTCCTTGTGCTTGTTTCTGTCCATCTGTTAATGTTTACATTCCGAAATCTATGTGATAAGTTTTCTATTTATTTAGATGTAAGTTTTACTAATGCATACATTACTCATTTGGCATTATATTGATTTATATTTTAGTCATCGTTTAGATTTGTTACGTTTTATTCTGTATTGATCTAAAAACAAAATAAAAAAAATTCTTATATGTAATTTTGCTTATTTAGGATTTACTTTATATTAACAAAAATAAAAATTGGCTATAAATTAATTATATTTAAATTTGTGCTTAGTTTATCAGGATGAACAAAATGCGGCCAACATTGTGTTGTTGGCCGCATTTTAATCATTTAACAATTTAATAACTACATTCTCACTAAGCCATATTAATTCTCCTTTGGACGCATCAAATTAAAGGATCTATTAACACGTTTATCCCCAAAATTGCGTAATGGTATGGTGTAAGTTTCCCCCTGAGGAAGGGGGTGCTGGCAAGGGTAAAGCTAGCACTTGGTGATGATGGAACAGTATTTACAATGAAACGATTGTTTGTTGCTAGAGTTTCAGGATGTATTACCCCCTTCCCCACATGACTGGATATTTGTGAACTCGTTGGGTTTTTGCATAATGGTGAGGACGGAGCTGTTCTCTAGAAACTAGCATGAACGGAATTAGAAACTAAGGTTGTTCTTCTCAAAGTTACACGAACTCAGGCCACCGGAATAGCAGCCTTGTACTAATATCCACAGAGCCAGCAGGTATAGTATGTGAGCGAGGAAGGTTTTTTCTACCACAGACGTGGCCATTCATTTATACACTGCTGTCCTGCATATATACATTCTTCTCTCGGCCAGAAAGGTAAGTGATGGGGGAGAGAGTGATGCACTAGATGGCGCTCCGTGGACCACTTAGTTCCACTGGTGCTTTGCCGTCCTCCACTGCAAACATCCATTTCAACTGTGTTTACAGTACGTGCCTCTACAGTTTCGTGGAGTAATCTCATGGAGACCTATTACTAACATCAAGATGGACGTCCTTTTGCCTAACCATTCACGCCGTAACCAAAATCCAACATCTGTTGTACCTCTTCTTTACCAGATACAAGACAATCGAGATTTGGTGTTGCCTACACACACACTAATGATTACCATTAATCATTAGTTGTCTTGAGCTCTTGGTTGATTTAAGCTCTTGACTGTCTTGAGTTCGTTTGTTTGCAGCCTTTACTTGTATCGAGTTCGTGATTGCCTTGAACCCCTGGTTGTGTTCATTCCCTGGTCGTCTTGCTGCCATTTCGAGTTTTTTTTTTTTTTTTTTTTTTTTTTTTTTTTTTTACACAACAGGATATCAAGTCGCGAAGGTCGTGGGAGTGTTCATAGGACCGAGTAGTTAACAGTTCAGCTGACTGGCAGATTAACAGTGGATATCACGGATTGAAACAATAACGGTAATACAGTCGGGTTTGTTCTCGACTTTGCAATCTGGAATTCGCCTAGCATTAAATAGGTACCCAGGGGTTAGTCAGTTTGTTATGGGGTTGCATCCTGGGGAGGGTCAGTAGTTCGACCTTGAGGGGACCTTGTTATATATATACACTGGCTGCCTATTCCCGACACAATAAATTATTGTTATACCACGACCCTCAAAGAACAGCAAGGGAACGTAATGAGTTGACAGGTTACACACCCAGTAAATGCAAATGTAAATTCTTTTGAATAAACATTGATTAATATCCGCACCTTAGCATATTTATTGTTACATTAACGCTATAGATGGAAAATAAATACAAAGTTATTTTTGAAAATATGAAAATATAATTTTAAGCGCAACGTTATTGATTGGTATTTTAACTGAGGTGGCCAGATGTGGCGAGAATGGTGTCGGCAGTTGACGAGAGTAGGACCTGAGACGGCAGCCAGCCTAACCTCACGCTACTTGTCTTATTCTCCTCAGATAAGAGTAGGAAATTCTTAGACCACAGGAAAGTAAGCTCTTGATTTTGGTAAAGTTGATATATTACAGATTTACAGGCATTTTGAGAACTGAAGACATGCCTAATAAAAAATATCGGCGTATTGAATTGAAATTGAAATAAGTTTATTGAGGTAAAATACACACAAAGGGATGCGGTAGCTCAAGCTATTATTCTCACCCCGTTCAGTACAACGTGTTATACATATATAGACACACATCACAATAAACATATTGCCAAATATTCTGATAAATATATACATTTCCTCCTTTATCGGCGTATTAGTGGAAATTAAATAATCACTAGAGGTTAGTGATTAAAACAAACAATCGAAAAATAAAATAACTCGAAGTTTACTGATAAATGCGTTAATAATAATAGAATATTTTTCTGGCCATCTAATGCTTAATGACACTAAAACATGTTTGGTGACTAACATTCTTGATTTTTTGGGTCGGGGGGGGGGGGGGGGGGGGGGGGGAGGAATTTTACTCGTGGAGACAGATGGCACGGTTATTGTGGGTGGCGCGTTATGTGGCAGTTCAGTGCCTAATGATATTAAAACAAGTCTAGTCAGTAAATCGTTAAATCGTGCTATTTCGTGTATCTGTGTGATCTTTTGGGCTGGAGAATAAGTGGTAGGAGAGGAGTGGGTAGAGCGAGGTAGCTGCTGGAGACGGCGGGGGCGGCGCAGCCATCTCTGCTAGTGGAATCATAATCAAGAGTGACGTCACCATGGAGGGTGGGCAGCCAGGCACGTCCCAGACTGACATACCGGGGCACCTAAACTATTTTACCTAGTCAACTTGCTAATTACTGGTCTCTGGCCCTCGGGATCATCGACGCCTTGTTATAAGAGCTGGGGAAGCATGATCGTGAAGGCTAATTTTATAGCTTCTGTTTGAGAGTAACTTGCAATTTCAGGTTCAAGTTTTTTGCAGGCGAAGGTCGATCTAATTTAATTCCAAGTGCTCTCACTATTTTACTTAAGGCAAACCGTCACAAGGCTCAACAAAAGTTGTACGATTAAATTGCAAGCGCTTTTATGTGGCCATTTTTGTTTATATTTTGTGAGGGTATAGTATAGTTTGTTGCTGGCAAAATATTTATATTTTTCACAGCTCTTGCTATAACATCACCCTGGCGATTGTGCTGCCATCAAACACTTTTCATTGTTAATTATACAATTTCCCACTACGGTTTTGCATTCCCTTCAGCCAGTCGTTCTCGCCTCATTATACG